CACCTGTGTGTGACCTAGCATGACTGTGCAGCTTTCTCTGTGTGTTACAATCTCATTGGCCACCTGTGTGTGGCTAGGCTCAACCACACGGCCTTTGCCCTTTAAAAGGTAGTCTGTAAGGCGGGGACAGGTCGCCCTCTCTGTAAGAGGCGGCCCGGAACAGTTGGTTTGATTCTCGATGCTTGGCGTGAAATAAAGCTTTGCTTGACCTTCACTTTGTATCAGTCTCGCTCCTTTGATTACGGACCCGTCACTATTACCTTGAAGAGACTGTGGAAGATTGGTCTACTTCTTCCTTTAACATCTGAAAGTATTCCTCACTGTGGTATCTGGCCTGGAATATTCTTTATAAGAAAAATTTTAAATTACAATTTCCTTAGTAGATCCCAAATTGTTTAGATTTTATATTTCCTCTTGAACTAATATGGGATAACATTTCAAAATTTTTGATGAAATTATTAGCTGTATCCTTTATATTCTCTCTGTAACAGTTGTAGATGTGCATTGAAGGCCACTTTTGTGCTCCTTACACTGACAGATGGTACTTCTCTCTCTCTCTCTTTTTTTTTCTTGATCAGTTTTGCTGGGGCATTCCAAATTTTATTTCTTTCAAAAGCTGAACCAAAATATTTGTTTTCTGTTTCATTAATTCATGCTCTACAATTTCTTTCGTTTCTTTCTTTCTTTCTTTCTTTTTTTTTTTTTTTTAAAGAAACCGTGTATTGTCTATCGACCATATTTCCATTTTCTGTTTAAGGGTTTGTGGAAGCACAGCTTAAAGCCACTCAGGAGTTAGTCATTCCTCTTCATTCAGGGACCTGAGCAGTGGGAACCGCAGACCACCCTTCAGGAGGGATCCGCTGACAAGGCACCGAGGTCACCCGCATGCCTTCAGAACGGTCTGCGACCTCAGGTTGAGGAGTGGTAAATCCAGGAGCTGGAGCCGTCTGTTCAACTCTGAAATTCCTCTGTGGTCACAGCCTTTTCAGCAGCGGTCTGCTCTGCCCCTACAATCTCTTCAGAATCTCTGGAAGGAGAGGTCTGGGAGGACCCCCTCTAGCTGTACCCAGGACCTGGTGCCACACATGCGCAGACCTCCCTGGGTGGCATCCTCCACATCAGACCCACTGAGTGAGCTCCCTTGCCTATGGGATGGTGATGTCCACGTACAGCAGATGGGTTGCTCTACCATGGCTGTGGTGGGCAGGTCAACACCAGACACATCAGTGAGAGGCTGGTGGTCATCCCTGGCAGCAGTAACCACCAGAAGTCATTGTTCTTGGAACACTCCCTGGATCTAGTTAATGAAGGCTCTGGGAGCGAAGGGGCCAGCCATAGTGGGGGGTCCAAGGACGGCAGCAAACTTCCGCACAACTCATTGGCCAGTATTCCTGAAGGTCATAACCCTGACATCAGTTGGGTTTCCATGGCAACAATGGCCTGAGCTGCCAGCAGAGGCTACTCCTAGGTTCTCTCCAAATTTATGCTAAAGATGCCATCACTTTTCCTTTTGTAGATGTACTGTTCCACTTAGAAGTCAAGTTGGTACCACCTGAGTGTGTTCCTGCTGCAAGGAATTTGAGAACACCCTCTTCCTTCATTTGCAGAACATCAAATATTCTGGACATTGTGAAAATTTCCCTTTAAGCTACGATGGGAACCCAGAACAGCACTGTATGAACCTCTCTCTACATTCTTTCTTTAGATTTACTTACTATTCTTTTTCTAACTTCTCGCAATGGATATTTAAATCAGTGAATTGTAGCCCTGTCTTTCCTAATATAGGCACTGAATGCCATAAATTTCTCTTTAATCAGGGCTTTCGTTCTTTCCCACAATTTTTACTGTTATCCAGACAAAGATACCTTCCAAATTTCCACTATGTTTACTTCTTTTACCTATAGGTGATTTAAATTGTCTTGATTTCTAAACATTTGGGAATTTATTTTTTAGTGTGCGTGTGTTACTGATTTCTAGCTAATTTTATTGTTGTCTGAAAACATATGCTAAGTCTTCCTGTCCAATGTGATAGCCACTAACCAGATGTGACTATTTAAATTAATTAGAATTAAATAAAATGTTGTTCATCAGTCACATTAGCCACATTTTAATGGCTCAGTAGCCACATGTGGCTAGTGACTATTAGCTATGTGATTACTGTACTGAACACTACTGACAAGAACCTATTAAGTTCTATTGGACAGCACTACACTAAATTATTTCAGTCTGATGAAATTTGCTGAGGCTTGCTTTACAAACCAGCACATGGTCAGCTATGGTAAATGTTCTTTGTACACCCAAAAGTTTTCTGCCAGTGTTGGTTGCACTGTTTTCTATATGTTAAGTAGATCATTTTATTAACATATCCTGTATGTCCACATGTACTACATTCTTAAACATTTTTTTCCTGCTTGTTTACTGAGAGAGCTATGGGAAAGTCTTCCACTAGGATTGTAGATTCATCTTTCTCATTTTAGTTTTGCTGTCAATTTTAGCTTTATATACTTTGACGCAAAATTATTAGATGTATATACTTTGGAATATTTGTATTTTCTTGGTAAACTGACTCTTTTATCAATAAAAATGTCCCCTTTTATCTATAGTAAGCCTTTGGGGTTTTTTTGTTTTGTTTTGTTTTGCAAGTAGACAAGTAACTGTTTTTATTGAATACAGAAGATCCTTGAAAACTGCAATTCCTTTCATTCCCAAAGTGCTGGAGCCAAGCATGCGTCCTGCGTAACTCCCTCCCATTTCTTCTCGGGGATTTTCAAGCCTTTGGTTTTAAGGTCTACTTGTTGTCTAATATTGGTACAGCAATTAACAGTTTTCTTTTGGTTAGTGTTTTAATGGAGTATCTTTTTCCATACTTTAATTTTGAATTCCCTGGATCCTTGCTCTTACAGTGGGTCTTGCTCGAGCAAGTACCCTATAAACTATAAGAAATGCAAGAATTTTCCTAAAGTTCATTATATCTAATATAATTACTGATGTAATACAATTACTGATCTACCATGTTCCTTCTCAACACTTGCTATTGTCAGACTTTTAAAAATCATATTTATATATATGTAGTGTTACTTTTGTAACTCGTTTCTAAAACCTAGTGAACAAGTGGATTTAGAAAACTGGGGAAAGTGGAGAGTGCAGAATGGCTGTACAGCAAAGTGCTTAGCAGTGCAATTCGCCAGGATAGGGACTTCAGGAGGAAGATATCATGGGGGTGTGTAGTAAGCAGTTGGCTCTTAAAATTTATCCTCAGGAGAGAGGGGTAAACTTGATACAAATTTCATCATCCTATTTCCTCACTTTTTAAATTCCCCAAAGAATAAAGGCTAATTAATTATACCTTTTCCTACTCCCTTCTCAACTTATTGTCATGTCAATGCCTCTTAGCTCTTCTGCTTATGACCCTCACGCTTTTATTTCCAGACTTCAAAAGTTTTTCTTTCTGCTCCTTCTCCATTTAATTTTACTCTTCTGAAGGCAGTAAGATGATCATGCCATTCCTTGGTTCAAAGACGTCAATGGCTTTCCATTACCTTGAGAACAAATACAGAAATATGAAACTCAATCCTATCATAACTAGTACTCTTCCATTTTACACGATACTAAATGCCAGAAAGTTGAAGTGCCTGCTCGTTTAGCATCATACTCCTTAAGTCTTTTCTCATACTTCACTCTGATTTCCACCTTATTCTTACCCTCTAAGTACACGTTTTAGTCATTATTTGCAAAAACACTTGAGTGTAAGGGCAGGAACCCTTCCTCTCCCCTTGAGTAGTACTCAGTAGTGCCTGACACTGAATGTGTATTGAATGAATTAGTGACTAAGCACATACTCCACATCATTTCTTTCACTTTCTTCCTTCTGTGACTTTGTTGACTACTCCCTTCCTACCTCTATGCCTCTAATCCCATCCTTCAAAACTCAAATCTCAGGAGCTCCCCAAACTTTTTCTTTCCAATCACAATTGAACCCTACTTCCTCTTATAAGCACCTTGTCTACCTCTATGATTGTACTGAACCATGTGTTTTCTTTATACATCAGACTTTATCACATAAGCTTTGTATATTGTGTATACCACAAAACCTAAAAAAAAAGCCTTGCACATTGTAGATAACAATAACTATTAAAGTGATATAGTAACTGGATGATTATAGAGAATATTCAGTGTATAGCAGTGGAATCTTAACAAATGCTAATACTAGAAAACAATTTTAAATTTTTATTTTTAAATGTTTCTATTTTTCAGTTGAAAACTTTGCATATAGTAGCCTATTACTATATGTATATCAGAAATCAACAAACCAAAGTCTGATAAATGTTGCCACTTGAAAAAAATCAATGTCTTTATTCTTAGACAGAATATGGTATGCAAATTAGTCATGTGGGCACTACTTCAGCTCTCATTTTTGTTTATCTATAGATGACATAGTGCTAGACTCTGACATATGGAATTAAAAAAATTGTCTCACATATTTAAGAAACTGTGATTAAATCGTAATATGGAGGAAGTGATTTCAAACCACTGGTCTATGGGCTGCATTACTGAAAGCAAAATAATTCCATATTCTCTGTCCCTATTGCAGGAACCTGAAAATTCCTACTCTTTAGGAAAACCAAAACTAGGGCAAAGAAAACAAAAATTTTTTTTCTGAGAAAATAGGGCACTGAAATTATGTAGTTAATAAGTTTAATACCAGAATAGCATAGCCATGTTCACACACAGAGAATTTAATGAGCGATTAAGTAATGTGAGCATAAGGTAGGACTCTCTGTTGTCAGGTGGCAAGTGGCATGCTGATTATGAGTGATGCCAATTAAGATATAGAAGGGATTTAAGTTTTCCCCACATTCTCTAATGTAACTTCTCTGATATGTAATAATTAGGGCACACTAAAGGTTTGAGATAATGACATTAATACATTTCCTTCTGAGCTGACTGCACACACCATCACACGGATCTTTACAGTATCTGATAAGGTTCTGCATTGTTATTCATTTCTTATAATGATAAAACTCTCCCCTTGTAGATTATATTTGAATAAAAGACCAGAGGCTTTTGTTTTTCGATTATAACAGACAGAAATTTCTTTCCATTGTTGCTGACATTCAGTAATATTTATTCATATTGAAGGTTTTCTCAATTACTCATGGACCTTAGAATCTTTCTTAAGTTTAGTAATGTCTGAATTCTCAGTTAAACTTTCATTGTAGAACTTAAGTGTTTTCTGTCCAGTGTGTTTCCTTTTAATGTAGCACAAGAGTTGAGCACTGATTAATACCGTTTTCATAATCAATAGCATTCCTAAGATTTTTTTCTGGTATAGTGTCCCTGGTATGAAATAAAGTCTGCGAATACTCTAAAGGTTTTCCCACATTTATCACACTTAGCCTGTCTTCCTCAGAATGGACTGTCTCATGATTAATAAGCTCAGAGCTGGCTAAAACTTCTGCTGCACTGGACACACATGTGGGGTCTCTCCCCAGTGTGGATTCCCTGGTGTTCAGTAAGCTCAGAGCATGTGCCGAAGGCTTTCCCACATGCATCACATTTACATGGCTTTTCCCCAGTGTGGATTCTTTGATGGTTAATGAGATCAGAGCGCCGACTAAAGCTTTTGCCACACTGATCGCATGAATATGGTTTTTCTCCAGTGTGGATCCTCTGATGTAGGATAAGAGCTGAGCACTGACTAAAAGCCTTTCCACACTCAGGACACTGATAGGGTTTTTCCCCAGTGTGGATTCTCTGGTGTTTGATCAGGTCTGAGTTCTGGCTGAAACTTTTGCTGCACTGTGTGCATGGGTATGGTTTTTCTCCAGTGTGAATTCTCTGATGAAGAATAAGGTCAGAACTCTGGCTGAAGGCTTTCTCACAATGATCACAATGATAGGGCTTTTCCCCAGAGTGCACTCTCTGATGTTTAGTGAGGTCTGAGCTTTGACTGAAACTTTTATTGCACTGGTTACAAGCATACGGTTTCTCTCCAGTGTGTATTCTTTGATGTTTAACGAGGTCTGAATGACGACTAAAACTTTTAGTACAATCACTGCATGGATAGGGTTTCTCTCCAGTGTGGATTCTCTGATGGAGAATAAGATTCGAGCTCTGACTAAAGGTTTTCCCACACTCATCACATTCATAGGGCTTCTCCCCTGTATGAATTCTATGATGTTTAACAAGGTCTGATCTTCGACTAAACATTTTGCTGCACTGGCTACATGGGTAAGGTTTCTCTCCAGTGTGAATTCTCTGATGATTCATGAGATCTGAAAGTCTACTGAAGGTTTTGCTACACTGATTACATGGATAGGGTTTCTCTCCAGTGTGAATTCTCTGATGCAGAATAAGGACTGAGCTCTGATTAAAAGCTTTACCACATTCATTACATTTATAGGGTTTCTCTCCAGTGTGGATTCTTCGATGTTTAATAAGATCTGAGTTCTGACTGAAACTTTTGTTACACTGATTACATGGATATGGTTTCTCCCCAGTGTGAATTCTCTGATGCAGAATAAGATCTGAGCTCTGACTGAAGGCTTTTCCACACACATCACATTTATATGGTTTCTCCCCAGTGTGGATTCTTTGATGTTTTATAACATCAGAGCTCTGACTAAAATGTTTGTTACACTGGTTACATGTATAAGGCTTCTCTCCAGTATGGATTCTCTGATGCTTAACCAGATCTGAGCGCTGGCTAAAACTTTTACTACAGTGACTGCACTGATAGGGTTTTTCTCCTGTATGGATTCTCTGATGGATGATGAGATCAGAACTCTGACTGAAGGCTTTCCCACATTCATCACATTTATAAGGTTTTTCACCAGTGTGGACTCTTTGATGTTTAATAAGGTCTGAGCTCCGACTGAAACTTTTAATGCACCAAGTACAAGGATAGGGTTTCTCTCCAGTATGAATTCTCTGATGCAGAACCAGAGCTGAGCTCACACTAAAAGTCTTTCCACACTTATCACATTCATAGGGTTTCTCCCAATGGGTTCTTCGATGCCTAATAAGGCCTGTACTCCAAGCAAAGCTTTGCCCACATCCATCACAGTTATGCTGTCTTCTTTTAAAGAAATTTTGATCCTTCTCATTTAATTTATCCCCAAATTCACAAAATCCTCTGCATTCAGAATCCCGGAGAACATCATCTCTGGGGTTGCCAGACTCTCCAGGCAATGGTTCAATTTTTGTTGTAATTTCCTCCTCTGAAGTCACCTCTCCAAACTTGGTCTTAGTCTCACCACCTAGAACAATAAAAAAATCCAAATGGAATGTATTCTTCATACTGTATATCACAATATGAGAGTGCTCTAAAACACTGAAAATTATCCTCTGAAAGAGCAATTAGGAAGAATCAATAAGTAATGGATCATAATAACCATGTATTGAAACGGTTTACCAGATATGTCCTGTATATGTTTGTCACAGGAGATCTGGGAATACTGGAACCTAGTCACAGTAATTATGAAAGTTTTGACTAAATTAAAACTAATACACAAGCAACTTATTAACATAAGTAAGGTAAGCAATATGAAAGAGTACTTGAGGGATAGGGGAGAAGGAGAGAGAGAAGGTGGCAGTGGCAGCCTGGCTGTCACTGGGAAGACCACCAACTCGCCTGATCAGAGGCTACTATTGGGGGTTAAGCAACCTCTGTTCAGTATTACTAGCCAATGCAACAAGACATGAAAAATAAATGAGAGATACAAACAAGAAAAAAGTCAAACTGTCTTCACTTGTAGACTATACAGTCATGTATATAGAAGATTCTAAAGTATCTCAAAGAAGTTATTAGAGGGCCGCCTGGGTGGCTCAGTGGGTTAAAGCCTCTGCCTTCGGCTCGGGTCACGATCCCGGGGTCCTGGGATCGAGCCCCACATGGGGCTCTCTGCTCAGCGGGGGGCCTGCTTTCCCCACTCTCTCTCTGCCTGCCTCTGCCTACTTGTGAGCTCTGTCAAATAAATAAATAAATAAATAAATAAATAAAATCTTAAAAAAATAAGTTATTAGAACTTGTACATGAGTTTATTAGAATAACATACAAAACCCAACTGTATTTTAGTATACTACCCATGAAAAATTAGAGCCTAAAATTAAAAACATTTTTAATTACATCAAAAATAAAATATTTAAAAACAATTCAACAAAATACATGTATATGTTTATAATGAACACTACAAAACACTGCTAAGAGAAGTTAAAGAAGACATAATAAACAGAAATATATGTCATCACTTATGGAGAGGAAGATTTAATATTGTTAAGATGGTGGATTTCTTCCCAAACTTTGCTATACGTTCAATACAACTCCAATCAAAACCTCAGCAGGATTTTTTCATAGAAATTGACAAACTGATTCTAAACTTTATGTAGAAAGGCACAGAAGAGTCTAAACAATTTTGGAAAAGAAGAACAAAATTAAAGAAGTTACACTACCAGATTTCAAGCTTTATTGTAAGGCTACAGTAATCAAAGTAGTATGGGACTGCATAAGGACAAGCATATCCACTAATGGAAAAAGACTGAGTCCATAAATAGATCCAAACATTTATGTAAAACTGATTGTCAACAAAGTTGCTAAGAAAATCAAGGGTGAAAGGACAGTCTTTTTTCAAAAGATATTGTTATATCTTTTCAGCTGTAACAGTAACACAAATTAACCCTCTTTCCTTATGCTATATACAAAAATTAACTAGAAATGTAATATAAACATAAATATAAAAACTAAAACTATAACACTTCTAGAAGAAAGCAAAGCACAGATGACAAAAGTTAAGGCACAGAACTATGAGAAAATAAATTGCAGTTTAAGCCACCCAGTTTGTGATACTTTGTTATGGGAGCCCTAGCAGACAAATAAAGCATGTTTTTGAACTGTACACATTTATGGAATTATATCACATATATTCTATGATTTTTTTTTTTGCTCAACATTATGTTTGGAACATAACATTATGTTCATCCATATTCAATCGTGTAACTGCAGTCTATTGATGTTCATTACCATAGTGTGACCTATACCACAATTTACTTAGCCATTCTCCTTCAATGGACAATAATATTTTGTTATTTCAAACAATGCTCATATGAATCTGCTGGTACATTTATCTTTACGCACATATTCAAGTGTTTCTCCAGGTTACATAAACTTAGGACCAGAATTGCTGGGTCTTATTGTTGAGTTTGAGTTCACACTGCTCTATATGCTAACCAATATTAAGTCTATCCTCTTTTTAACCCACTGCAATCGGGCTTTTATCTCCTTAACTCCATCAAAACTGCACTTATCAGAATCCCTAATAAGCTCTATCTTAACAAATCTAATGGTCAATTCTCAATCTTCTTCTGTATTTATCTGACATAATTGATTACTCTCTTCTTAAAACATTTTTCTTCTAACTTAACTTTCCCCTACTCTCCATAAAACAGTATACTTTAAATTTTTTTTTATTTATTCATTTGTCAGAGAGAGAGAAAGATAGCAAGAGGGCACACAAGCAGGGGGAGTGGCAGGGAGAGGGAGAAGCAGGCTCCCGGCTGAGCAAGGAGCCTGATGCAGGACTCGATCCTGGGACCCTGGAATCATGACCTGAGCCAAAAGGCAGATGCTTAACTGACTGAGCCACCCAGGCATCTCCATAGTAATCTTTATATGTTATTATCATGCACAAAATGTTCCATTACACTGGGAATAAATTCCATGTCCTTACTATGGCTCAGAAGGTTCCATCCTGTCCTTTCTCTCTCTGCTCTCATTTCATTCCCGTTTCCTGTCTACCCCATACTGACACTGTTCCTGCTACATTAAAGGGCCTCTGGCATTTGTTGGTCCCTGTGCCTAAAACACTCTTCTCTCAGATAGCCATGTGGCTTGTTTTCTCACTTCCCTTATATCTCTAACCAACTGTTACCACCTCAGAAAGACACAATACTTGGAGAGCTCTGCATTTTTGAGACAATAGATATCACAGTCGAATGTGCTGAAACGACCAATATTAGTACCCTGACTCAAAATTTAAAAGAAGGCTTTGCATGGGTCCAGGTTGCAATGTAAGCTGTCATGTCACATGACTTTATTAACTACGATAACCAATGGTAAGATACGTCTGCAGTAGTCAGGGATGCTGTATTAAGGCTTCTGCAAGCCTCCAGAAGAGAACGACACCGGAGTAAGGCTATACTCTCTTCTGCCAACAATTTTCTAAGTGAAAAACAGATGCTGGCTTGCTCTTGGGCACTAATAAGACTTAATGCTTCACCACAGAACACCAAATGACTATTACAAGCTGATCATTGTGAGCTACCTAGTTGACCCACCAAATCCTAAAACTAGACATACAAACCAGCGTTCCATTATAAAAGCAAGTATGGAAGACAAATAAATTCCATGTGCTAGTGATGTGGGTTTCCCTATTGCTCCACTAATCCCCTCCTTATTAGCCCATATTCATGGCCTAATGGGAATCCCCTCTTATCAGTTAACAGAGGAGGAAAATGTACAGAACTGAGTTATAGATGGGTCTGCTCAGTGTGTGGACACTAGCAGAAAACGAACCTTTCACTTACACCTTGACTCTGAAGTGACCTGAAACATACTGGTAAAAGCAAATCCTCCCATTAGACAGAATTTCAGGTATACACCTGGCTGTCCACTTTCATGGAAGGCAAGAGAGCCTAAGATACACATCTGTACTGATTCATGGATAATGACTAATGGGTTATTAGTTAGTTAGGTAGCTAAAAGAACAAGCCTGGAAGATCAGAAATAAGGATTATAGAAGAAAATTATAACAGACCTCCTACGATGGGCAAAGAATGAATGTATTTGTGTCCCGTGTGAATACTCACCAAAGGGCATCCACTTGAAAGAAGCCTCTCAATCAGACGGACATGGTGATCCACGTTGTGAAAGTCAGCCTTTTTACTAATATTTGCCCAATGGATTCATGTACAAAGTGGTCATGGAAGCATTGTGTGGGCTCAACAATATGGGTGTCTATTACAAGGCTGATATGCCTATTATCACAGCTATATAGCCATGCGGCCAACTGCTGGGAACAACCCTGAGCCCCTAATATGGTACAATTCTCCGGAGAGGAACAAGCCCACAACTAGGGGGCAGATTCATCAGACTTGGCTCCTTCTGTCATGAAGAGGGCAAAAATTTGTTTTCAAAGGACTAAATATATAGTTCAAATACAAATGTGCACTGACCTAAGAGAATGCTTTATTTATTACCATGGTGAGTCTATACAATAATACCTCCAGAGGAGTAGTTTTACAGGGAAGGAAGTATAGCAATAAGCTCACACACGTAATTCACGGGTCTTACCACACGTCCCATCATCCAGAAGTAAGTGGATTCCAATAATAGTGGAATGATTTACTGAAGGCTCAGTTACAGTACCAGGCTAGGCAACAACACCCTAAGTTTGGGGTGCTGTCCTACAGGATGCAATATGTGCCTTAAACCAGAGGAGAATAAACAGTGTTGTCTTACCTATGGCCAGAGTACCTGCGCATAGGAGCCAAGGGTAGAGGAGTAGTAAAATGTCTCCTTTCACTATATAACTAATAATCCATTCATATCATGGATTGTATTATATTTATATTCTTAAAGATTTATTTGAGAGAGGACGTGAGCATGTGTACACATGTGGGTGGGGGCAGACAGAGAGGGAAATAATCTCAAGCAGACTCCCCACTGAGCAGGGAACCTGATGTGAGGCTTAACCCCATGACCCTGAGATCACAACCTGAACTAAAATTAAGAGTCGGACAATCAACTGACTGAGCCACCCAGGTGCCCCCATATTATTTTTAATTCCTATCCCCATAATCTTGGGCTTGGTGAGTTTGGGGTTCTGGTTCTCAAAGAAGAAATACATCTACCATGGAACCAAGTCATGATTTTGTTAAATCTGAAGCTGAGACTGTCTCCTGGCCATTTGGGTTCCTCATGCTGCTGAACCAACTGGCAAGAGAAAGGTTGCTCTGCTGGCTGGGATGACTGATACCAATTGATACTGGGGGTTGGCTGCTGCTACATAACAAGGGCAAGGGAAAAAAGGCGTGGAAATCAGGTAATTCAATGCGGGTGCTTCCTAGTTCTCTCCTGTCTAAAGGCCCAGTCAATGGTACACTGAAAAAACATGGAAGAGACAAGATCATCAAGGACTCAGATCATCCAGGAAGAAAGGTTTATATTACTAAACTAGGTAAAGAACTCTGCCACTGAGATCCTGACAGAGGGTAGAGACAACATGGAATGGGTGATGAAAGAAGATGTTATGATTATCAGTTTTGGCTTTATGAATAGTAAAACCTGTAGCAGTGATTTTAAGTTAATTATGACTTCACCCCTTTTACCTCACTACCTAATATGAGGAGCATCAATGGCAGTGAAGTTTCATGTTTTGGGGGGGGTGGGGAGTATAATTTAATTACAAGTCAACCTGTGAAGCAGAAGCTTAAGAGACTGTTTTTCTCTGTGTTAGGAACAGGATAAACCAAACAAAGGACAAAAGTAAACATTATAGGTTAAAAGGGGTGGACTGTAATGGGATATTCTCCTTTTGCCCCTCTAGGTCTACTGTTCATGTTTCTCTGTGCTCCAAGAGGCTGATACTAATTTATGGACTGCAGCACTTGGGATTCTGTGTCCTCTGGCTTGCAATTAGATTTGGCCCAAAGTCGGAGGAGAACTGTAGAATGACCAACTATCCTGGTTTGTCCAAAAGAGATGGGCATCTTGGGATATGGGACTTTCAGTGCTAAATCCCAGGGGAAACCAGGATGAGTTCTTCACTCTACATCCTGACTCCCTTCTTGCTGGGCCAGGAGTTGCAAGTGACTGTGCTTCTTTTAGCAAAGGCTATGGCTCCTACTGGGTAGCTCTACCCTACAGCTATACTCTCCAGGATCTGGTAATCAGTCTCTCCCTTTGTAACACTAGGCCTAAGGGTAGTAACTGCTCATCATTTTTTTGGTCCCAAAGCTGTACTCTATCCCTTATTAATTTCTGTAATCCTGCCCATCTTCTTCATGAAATGTTGAATTACCAATCTGAATGAACCATCTTTCCTGCTAGAATCCTAACTGATATATCCTGGTTTATTTTCTTTGTAACCATTACCACTATCTGATGTTCTACCATATATTTATTTATTTTCTATTTCTCCCACCAGACTGTAAGCTCCTTGAGGGCAAAGACTTTTCTGTTCAGTTCACTGCTATATGCCCAGCACTTAGAACAGTATAAGAGTAGCCCCTCAATAACTAACCATATTATATGGTCAGCAATCATTAATAAGCTATAATCTGATTAAGTAATAAACATTTATCAACAATAAATATTTGTTGAATAGGTGATTACTTATTAGAAGGACACATTGTTAGTAGTGACTATCTTTTTTAATTTTTTAATTTTAATTTTTATTTTTAAAGATTATTTATTTATTTATTTATTTGACAGGCAGAGATTACAAGTAAGCAGAGAGGCAGGCAGAGAGAGAGAGGAGGAAGCAGGCTCCCTGCTGAGCAGAGAGCCCAATGCGGGGCTTGATCCCAGGACCCTGGGACCATGACCTGAGCCGAAGGCAGAGGCTTTAACCCACTGAGCCACCCAGGCACCCCTATTTTTTTTGAAGATTTTATTTATTTATTTGTCAGAGACGGAGAGAGAGCAAGCACAAGCAGGCAGAGTGGCAGGCAGAGGCAGAGAGGGAAGCAAGCTCCCCGCTGAGCACAAGGAGCCCAAAGTGGGACTTGATCCCAGGACTCTAGGGTCATGACCTGAGCCGAAGGTAGCTGCTTAACCAACTGAGCCCCCTAGGCATTCCAGTGACTATCTTTAGATGGTGGAGCTGTACGTTATTTAAATTCCCTGTTTTGTGTCTTTCTGTATTTTATAAATGTACTTTAGTATAATTAGATTATTCTATAGTAAAAAAATGTTCTTTCACACACACTCTAAGAGAGACAAACACATGCAATATGTATATTAATTTATATAAAACTGCAAGGAGACCCAATTCTGTAGTAATTCTCATGAAAAATGAGAGCTAGATGCCTTACAATAGATTCTTAAGGAAAGACAAGTTCTAAATATAGAAGAGAGAAACAAAACAAAATAAAAATACTTCACAACTATAAAGAGGCAGAAGATCTGGAGTTAAAAAAAAAAAAATGACAGTAAAATTTCACAGGCAAAATAGCAGCAATGAGAGGGCCAAAATCAGAAAACAGCAAAATATGATGTGAAAATGAGACCCTGCAGAACATCTGAATAAGAATGGGATTAAAGGGGCGCCTGCTCAGCAGGGAGCCTGCTTCCCTTCCTCTCTCTGCCTGCCTCTCTGCCTACTTGTGATCTCTGTCTGTCAAACCGATAAATAAAATCTTTAAAAAAAAAAAAGGGGGATTAAAATTATCTAACTAAAAATAACAGTGCCTACCATTTATAAAGAATTTACCAACAGTCTGGTTTGTGTGCAGAGCTTTATATAATGTAATATTATTAGTGCTGGTGGTGTTATAGTAATAGGGGATCCCAACAAACCCTATCTCCAAATAACTATATCCTTGTGTAGTTCTTTTCCACAATGACTCTGGAACGTCAATATAACACAAACATAAGTTAGAAAAGTGCTTATGCATCCCAAGGCTTGCCCTCTCTCTGTATGGGAAACTGGCTGCCCTGTGAGAAAGTCTGGGTTGGACAGCTGCAGGTGGGTGACCCCAGCCCTGACCAGCATCAAGAGCCAGACATATATGGCTGATACTCAGACCCTGGCCCTAGTTGAGCCACTAGATGACTGCACAAGTGATCCCAGACGAAACCAGGAGAAAAAACTGCCAGCTGAAACCACCCCAAGTTGAGGACCTACAGAGCCATAAGAAAATAACATGGTTTAAAAATGTCTGATGTTTAGGTCACTAAATTTTGGGGTCCTTTATTATGGAGCAATAGACGCAACCCTCAAAATAACGTCCAAGGTATGAGTTACTACATACTTATAAAATGAGGAAGCAGAATCGTTTAAAAAAAAAAAAAAAAAGAACAGAAAAGAAAATGCAAGTCATTTACTGAAGCTAGTACATGACAAAGCTAGTATTTGAATCCAGGGTGTGAGACTCCAAAACTTTTAACTAGCCCCTACCATACTTGAAAAAGATGACTTGAAAAGATTTTAAAGGGAAAATATCAAACACTGACACACTGGTGATAAAGTGATTATAATGGGGAAAATGGGTAACTGGGAACTTAAGGAGAGGAGGGAACTCCATGAGAATCTGACTGCCAGAATTCACAATAAAGTTATGTGACTGTGCTTGTAGTACTCAAGAGAGGATACTGCCTAATACAGTGAGGGATAGGGAAGGAAGAATACCAATAGCCCTGGAAGACACTAACACAGCACCATTAACAACCCTCCCCACCACCTGAACCCCCTAAGAAAGATAGAATGCACTGCTTCTCACCTGACAGAAGGTGGTGTTCTTGAGATTCATAATTGAAGTGGATCTCCATGGGCTGCAGCTGGACGCCTGGCACCTCGGGGAGCAACTGGAGAATTACCATTTCCTCAGTAAGCTTTTCTTGTCCGCATAGGAGTCTGAAACCTGGAGGCAACGGGGTACCACTGGGCTTGGAAGGCAGTCATCGTGGAGACCGGAGATATAATTTCGGAGAAACATCCTCTAGATATAAGAAAAATGAAGGAGAAAACAAAATCTCATTTAATTTCCAAGTGGTTTTCTCCGAGAATTTATTAGGCTTCCTCCCTCATGATGAGGCTCAGACAAAACCATTTTGGACGTGCAGTCTCCATTCCAAGGCTAGAGACCTTCAAACATAACTGGCGGTTAAGGCTCCTGAAATAAGGATGTAACTGGGAAGATAAAGTAGGGGAGGGCATTGTAAAATTTTGTTTCAGCGGTTAACGCTGTATTCACTGCCTCTCCTATACCGCCCCGGCACTACTGGTCACCATCATTATCCCTCTTTCCCTCCTTCCCTTTTTCCAGCGCTCGCACATTCAGGCTGCTTTTTCCCCGAACGCTCGGCGGATCTGCGAGGACGCACCCCCCTTCCTGATTCCACATGCCCCCAACGTTTCCGGTGTTCATTCGGTTGAACCCAAGGCCGCGCAGGCGCTACCCGGGTATCCAAAGCACGCTAGGCCGAGGACCCACCGCCCCAGGAGCAGCGCCTGGGGGCGACCCGGGGCGGCCGGGACTCTCTACGGACTTGAGAAACCCCATAGGGTTTCCTGGAGGTGCCGCAAGGCAGCCCAGAAGGCGAGATCACCCGAGGTCCCCTGGCTCCCATGACCTAACATTACCCATACCTCGACGTGTCCTTCAGGTCCCTGTCAAGCCCCACGCGATGCGAAACCGCCATCGCTGCGTCCGCTCTAGGAAACTGGGAGGATTGCTCAGCTCTATGGCGCGAGGGGCGCCCGCCCCGGCGCAGGCGCAAGGGGTCGGCGGCAGGCTGGGGGCTGGTTGAGGAGATTTAACCCCTCACAACCGCGTAGCTGATCCAGCCCCGCCGTAGCGAGCGACTTGGTCAGGCAGCGACAGGTCCCTTGCTGCCGTACCTGCCGGTTCTTGACGTGAATGTCGAAACATCTTTCGGGAAAGCTCTCTGGGGCAGGGTAGGTTTCCTGACTACATAATGAGTTCTTCCTTATTATCTCTCTCTTTTAAAATCCCCACGCCACCCCTTATTCTTCCTCGCTGGTGTGCTTCCATTCTAACTTTCTTCCTGTCGTCTCTGTTTTTTTTCCCCGAGAACAGTGGTGTGCCTCCAAATCACCCGGAATCCTTGTTAAAAATTTTTACTGGGCCCCACCCCTAGAGTGAACCTAGAACTCCGGGTCATAGGTACTGCTGCTGTGGGCTCTGGACCATACTTTGAGAAGCATTGCCCTACGAATTAATTCCTGACTTGCCGGGAAGCTGGATTTTGATGTACTTTGCCATCACGGAAGGCCATAGGGGTCTGTTTCTAAACAGCTTGCTTAAGAGGAAATTTAAAACAAAACAACAACAACAAAATACCATGGAGACATACGAAAATGAAAATACAACAGCCCCAAAATCTTTGGGATGCATCAAAAGCTGTTCTAAGAGGGAGGTTTATAAAATACCAGCCTACTTCAAGAAGCAAGAAAAATCTCAAACCAACCAAAAAATCCCCCTGAAGCAGCTAGAAAAAGAACAAACAAAACTCAAAACCAGTAGAAGGAAGGACGTTGATAAAGACAAGATCAGAAATGAACAAAATAGAAACTAAACAATTTGCTTGCCAGTGCAATCCTAGTACCTAAAAGATCAGGGTGAGAAGGACCTGAAATTTGGAGGAGCAGGGCGTACATTGGGGTAGGAAAGGATATTGTTGTGTCCTTGGAAATTTCTTGGGAAGTACAGGGGGAGTTAGGAGAAGGATTGAGACATACAAGATGTTGGGGAGAGGTACAGGTTTGACAAAGTGGTGGCTGGCTGAAATGATGGTTGAGGTGGAAGTAGAGGGCTTTGTGTCCCAGCCCAAGACACTCTTCTGATATATGAAATCTTAGAGATGTATAAATGAGACTCTGATATTCCTTGTAAAGAACTTGTTTGGGTCCAGCCTCCCAAGAATGGAGTGAAGATACTTTAGAAAGAAGGCAAAACAGCTTCACTGTGATATAACAGACATACAATAATAAGCAAATATTAGAGTATATAATTTGATGAGTTTTGCATATGCACACAATTGTGAAACCATCACCACAATCAAAATAATGACTGCATTCAGCAAATTCAGAAGTTTTCTGTACCTTTTGTATCTCCTCCCTCTTCCCACAGCTCCCAACCACTGTTCTGCTTTGTGTTACTAGAGGTTAGTTTGTTAGTTTGCATATTTTAGAGACTTACTTAAATGGAATCATACAGAATGCAGTCTTTTTTTTGTCAGACTTCTTTCACTGAGCATTATTTTTATTATTATTTTTAAATGATTATTTATTTATTTATTTATTTGACAGAGATCACAAGCAGGCGGGGTGGTGGGGGGCGGAGAGCAGACTCTCTGCTGAGCAGGCCGCCCCATGCGGGGCTCCATCCCAGGACCCTGGGATCATGACCTGAGCCAAAGGCAGAGGCTTTAACCCACTGAGCCACCCAGGCGCCCCCACTGAGCATTATTATTTTGAGATTTATCTGTATCACGGTTGTCTATCAGCGGTCCATTGCTTTTTTTTTTTTTTTGCTGAATAATATTCCATTAGCTATATATGTATCACAATTTGTTTAACCACTCACGAGTTGATGGGAGTTTGGGTTATTTGCAGTTTTTTTTTTTTACTATTACAAATCAAGCTGCTATGAACATTGTTGTCCAAGACTTTATATGGACATGTACTTTTTTCTCTTTCATGGTAGTTGTATGTTTAACGTTTTGAGAAACTGCTACACCGTTTGTCAGAGTGGCTAAACCATTTCGCATTCCCACCAGCAGTATATGAGAATGCCATAGCTGATATACTACTTTAAACAGGTGTTGAGTAAAAGAGATGAGAAATGTAACCAGAGGTTAATTCTTAATGTACAAAGGTGAGGGTTTTGTTCACTTTTTACCTGGAAGTGATGATGTGACTGTAGATTTTCTGAGTGTTTAACCAAGGAAATCAAACTTTTTTTCAGATTGTGCTAGATTTGTGGCTTTGTGGAGTTTTACCGAAGATGTTGCATTCTGAGGCTGAGAAGCCAGCTTGGAATCTAACTGTTTGATCAGTCGGCCAGAACAACCCGAGACCCAGCTGTGGTCCACACCAGCTGACACTGAAGGCGTTCCTCTCGGTAAGGTAAAGGAATTCAAAGGTTTCCAGAGAGATCAGGAGTGATAATATGGGCATGGGAAACGATAAGAGATTCTCCAGAATGAAAGTGATAGGTCACCCACCAATATTCTACCTGATTTTCATTTCCTATTCCATTTCCTCTTGGGGGAAACTAGGCCAAACTAACAAATGTCTGATTTATACATAGATTCTACAGCAGTGGTTCTTCATCTTTTTGGGGTAATATAACTACTTTGAGAATATGATAAAAACTACAGACCTCTGGGGTACCTGGGTGGCTCAGTGGGTTAAGCCTCTTCCTTCGTCTCAGGTCATGATCTCAGGGTCCTGGGATTGAGCCCCGCATCGGGCTCTCTACTCAGCGGGGAGCCTGCTTCCCCCCCCCTCCCCCGCCCCTGCCTGCCCCTCTGCCTACTTGCAGTCTCTCTCTCTTTGTCAAATAAATAAATAAAATCTTAAAAAAACCAAAAAACAGGGGCACCTGGGTGGCTCAGCTGGTTAAGCGACTGCCTTCAGTTCAGGTCATGATCATGGGGTCCCGGGATCGAGTCCCGCATCGGACTCCCTGCTCAGCAGAGAGTCTACTTCTCCCTCTGACGCTCTCCCCTCTCATGCTCTCTCTCTCTCACTCTCTCTCTCTCAAGTAAATAAATAAAATCTTTAAAAAACAAAAAACTATAGACCTCTTCCTCACAAAGTTGGACTTAAAGACCTACTTTTTATCCTGTATTGCTTATCATGTATTATATTGTATTAGAAATTAATTTCCCTTGATAGTTAAACTTCACAAAGAATGAACTTCAATCTAAAAATCAATCCCCAGGTCCAGGTAAAAAAGGGAAATAAATCCAAACTGTGAAGCCAAATGAAAAATTTAACATTGCTTTTGATCAAATAAATATTTATACGTAGGCTGCTGCTGTTTGATTTTGAATGGCACGTCTAAATTATGGACAACACAACAACTTTGAAATATTAATATGCATGTCCAATTGACTGTGTCTTTTTAAAAACAGAACAAACGCTGGGGCGCCTGGGTGGCTCAGTCTATTAAACTGCTGCTTACCACTCAGATCACGATCCTGGAGTCCTGGGATCTGCTCAGCAAGGAGTCTGCCTCTCCCTCTGCCCCTCGTTCCTGCTTGTGTTCTCTCCCTCACTCACTTGCTCACTGTTTCTCTCTCTCAAATAAATAAATAAAATCTTAAAAAAGAAAACAAAAAAAACAGAACAAGTGCTGAAAACTGAGATTCAGAAAGCAAAATAATGGCCAATAGTATCAGTTCCTAAGGTTGACTTTGACAGAGATGAGTAGGTTTATATCCCAAACACCAGAATTCTCCAAGACCTCTAGAGTTGAATTCCAATCAGATCATTTCTTTTATATTCAATCAGTGAGGTCACTGGCATCAGTTTGAAAAGTTTTCAACTTCGAAACCAAGTCACAGTCATTTAAACTCTTGGTCTGTAATTAACACATTGTTGTGGGTTGAATTGTGTTCCTCCCAGAAGATATATTCAAGTCCTAACCTGTGGTACCTATGAATGTGACTTTATTTGGAAATAGGGTCTTTGCAGATATAATCAAGTTAAGATGAGATCATACTTGATTAAGGTAGGCCCTAACTCAACAACTGGTGTCTTTATAAGAAGAGGCAAATTCAGACACAAAGGAGACTCATGGAGAGGAAAGGACACCATGTGAATGGGGAGGCAGTCATTAAAGTGATGCATCTACAAGGCAAAGAACACCAAAGATTGCCAGCAGTTACTGGAAGTTAAGAGACAGGTGTGAACCTCAGGGTCTTCAGAAAGAGGATGGTTCTGCCAGCATCTTGATTTTTGGATTTGTAACCTCCAAACTGTGAGCGAATTCATTTCTGTTGTATTAAGCCACTCTGTAGTACCAGAAGTGAGGAGCTGCTTTAACAAATACCTAAAAATGCTGATGTGGGTTTGGAGTTGAGTAATGACTAGAATTTGGAAGGGTTTTGAGGCTCATGACAGAAAATATCTGGTTGCCTTGAAGAGATTGTTGGTAGAGGTATGGATGTTAAAGGTGACTCTGGCAAGGGCTTGGAAGAAAGTGAAAAGGAAAATAGAGAACTTTTCTGTCATCTTAGAGAATACATATATTGTCATGAAAAGAATTTTGCTAGGACTAACGAGCATTAAATATACTGGTGAGGTCTCAGACTGAAATGAAGAAAACATTATTGAAAGCTGGAGAAAAGGTGATACTTGTAAAGTAGCAAAAACTTGACTGAATAATTTCTCAGCCTATCCTTGCTCTGGAGACAAGGCCATGGAACTGGACAACCTTTTGGTGGATAGATTGGGTGTGTAATTCATGGATCCAACCAACCACCTCAACAGAAACCAGTAATAAAGTGCAGTGATTCAGGAAGGATCTGAGAAGAGCCCCTGCATATAATTGTGTGGATCTCTTTGATATCCACAGACACCAGCATGGTTCTTGAGACTCTTATATCACCAGAAACACTGCCGGTATGGACTGAACTGGACAGAGAGAACAAAATAAAGGAAGCTTTCTGGGAAATTGCATGCAGGAAATGGGGTGACCAATAGGCTGGTCCACTTGAGTGCTGAGGACCAGGGCCACCTTAGCGGAGAGGGACTGATGAGGCTTCCACTGGCCCAAGGGACATATTGAGCCACAGAATAATTTGGGAACTCTACAAATATTTGGAAGTTAAATAGGCCATATCTAAATAACCCATAGTTCAAAGAAGAAATCACAAAGGAAATTAGAAAATATTTTAAACTGAATGAAAATGAAACACAACATAAACAGTTTTATTAGATGCAACCAAAGCAGTGCTTAGGGGAACACTTATAGCTTTAAAATGCCTATATTAGAAAAGAAAATCTCTTATCAGTAACCTAAGTTTCTACCTTAAGAAGCCTGAAAATGGGCAGCAAACTTAACAACAAAAAAGCAGAAGGAAAGGAGTAATAATGATTAGAGTAGTTATGAATGAAATGGAAAACAGAAAAACAATAAAGAAATATCAATGAAACAAAAATTTTGTTCTTTGAAAATATGAACAAAAATTGACAAACCTTTAATATGCTAACCAAGAAAAAGAGAGATTAACAAAAGCAGAGAAGAGGGGACATCACTACAACTTTATAATAATTTAAAAGAATATAAGGGAATACTATGAATAACTTGATGCCAACATATTACACAACGTAAGCATCATGGACAAATTACTTGAAAAATACAAATTTACTAAAAGTGACTGACGGACGGACGCCTGGGTAGTTCAGTCAGTTAGCCGTCTGTCTTCGGCTCAGGTCATGATCCAGGGTCCTGGGATCAAGTCCTGCCTTGGGTTCCTTGCTCAGTGGGGAGCCTGCTTCTCCCTCTACCTGCCTCTCCCCCCGCTTGTGCTCTCTCTCTGTCCCTGACAAATAAATAAATAAATAAAATCTTTAAAAAAAAGTGACTGAAAAAGAAATAGAAAATATGAATAAATGTATGAAAAGTAAAGAAGTTGAATTAGTAACAAAAAGTTTTCTAACAAAGAAAATCGCAGGCTCAGATGCCTTCACTAGTAAATTTTGTTGAACAGTTAAAGAATACCAGTCTTTCACAATCTCTCCTAGAAAACAGAAGGGCCAGTAATTACTTTGATGCCAAAGCAGACAAAGACATCACAGAAAAAGACAGCTACTGACCAGTATTTCTAACAATATAGATGCAAAAGTCCTCAATGAAATATTAGCAAATTAGCTTCATTAATATAGGGGTGCCTGGGTGGCTCAGTTAGGTGCCTACCTTTGGCTCAGGTTAGGATCTCAGCTTCTTGGTATGGAGCTCTGTGTCAGGCTCCCTGCTTGGTGGGGATCCTGCTTCTTCCTCTCCCTTAGCCCCTCCCTGTTGCTTATGCACACTCTCTATCTCAAATAAATAAATAAAATATTTTTAAAAATTAACTTCATTGATATGTAAAAAAATTATATATTGCAACTCAATGGAATTTATCCTAGTAAGTTGGTTTAATATTCAAAAATAAATTAATGTGGTCAGAGATATAAATAGATAGAGATATAAATATCTCTTTCAATAATGTTTAACAATAATAGAATGAATGAATATTGGTTTAATCATACCATGTAACATTATTAGAAATGAAATACAGTGTACATTTACATAAAACAGTATGATTTTGTTTTGATGTAATTTCACAATGATTTCACAATGATGAATTGATCCTGACTTTAAAAAAGTACATACTAGTTCCATTTATATACAATACAGAAATTTAAATACAATACAGGCAAGACCAACTGTATCATGTCAAAGTTCAATGTAGTGGCTATCAAGTCACCACCCTCCTCAGGGCTAGAGGAGGGTGGTGACTTGAAGAGAGCACAAGGAGACTTCTGATGACAGATAATATTCTGTTTCTTCATCTGAGTGCTGATAATATGAGTATGTTCAAAAAATAGTATGTGCACTTATTTACTTGTAAAATCAGCATTACTGAGCAATTCTATTTGGCTGTTCTGTATTCACAGCATCAAAACACAGACCAAAATGCACCATTTTTTATTAAAATGCTTCATTTTATTTTCTGAGACTCCACCTACCTATCCTGTCTCATTCTCTCCCCATCAGGTCTGTATTCCTCTTTTCTTCTATCTTCAATTTTTCTTCCTACTCACATTTAACCTTTTTTTTCCCTACAAATATAATTAGGTGCCTAATATTTTTATTATTTTTTAAAGATTTTATTTATTTATTTGACAGACAGATCACAAGTAGGCAGAGAGGCAGGCAGAGAGAGAGAAGGGAGGAAGCAGGCTCCCCGCTGAGCAGAGAGCCGATGGGGGGCTCAATCCCAGGACCCTGGGAACATGACCCGAGCTGAAGGCAGAGGCTTCAACCCACTGAGCCACCCAGGCACCCCAAGGTGCCTAGTATTTTTAAAAACAAACACCTTTCAATCCTGTTGCCTAGTCCAACCAAGTGTCCTTTCTTTTTCCTTCTTGCACAATCTCATTTCTCAGAAGGAATTACCACCTGTTTTCCGTATCTCATCCTACACTTCTTAACCCGTGGCAAGTAACATTCCACAGATAACATCTCTCACGCCCTTCCTCTATCCCTCCCCTTAATTCCAGCGTCACCAAAGCTCTGGCCTCCTCCCCTTCTCTGCCCAACTGCTGGTCACCTGTTTTCTCTCCTGAAACACTCTGTTGGCTTTTATGATTTAACCATCTGGGCTTTCCTCCTTCTAGAAGTTTCTCTTTTCTATCTGTTCTTGCTCATTCCACCCCCAAACATAGCTATTTTATAATTTCCTGTTTATTTTCCATAAGATTTCCTTTGGATCTCATCCCCTTCTCCATTTCCAGTCATATTTTCAGATACTACCAAATTCTAAGTTCACATTTCTAAACGTCTTTTTTTTCTTATCCGTTTTGCCCTTCAATCCAATCTACGCAGTATGTCAGATACTGTCTCGAAGTACCATTCTTGCCATGTCACATGAAAATGGCCTGCACTGATTACTAAAAGCATTTCTAATTCCCGAGCCTGGCATTTGAAACTCTTCAAACCTGACCCACCGCATCCCTCAGCCTAGGTTCTAGCCCACGAAGATGGTGGGTTAATCCCCCCCCCCTCCCATGTCCTGAACTTCCCACTGCTGTGCTCTCCCTCAGGCCACTCCTCTAAGTCAACAGTTGTCCCGTAAGACTCAGCGTGAGTAGCGCCTTCTTTGATCGAATTATTCTGACTCTCCCGCTACGTGTTCATGCCCTTGTCCACGACGGCAGGGTCGATCCTCCGCCTGGCCCCCTGGCCAAACCTGGGCTGGTTTCCCCTCAACCTCCACGCACTCCTCTAGTTAGCTTCTAGAACTGCCGCTGGGGATAGCGTGTTTGTGGTGTACGAAAGCAGTTTTGTCCCCCTCTTCCCCAGATTTACAGAGGCAGGGTTCTATTTTTATCTCCTCGGAGTTCCACCAGGCGCGTGCTCTCTATATATTTCTTTTGTCCTCCTTCCGTCGCCTGTCAACCATTTTGAATCGGGGCTGTCCCCACCAGGTCCCACCGGAGACACACTCCCCTCAGCTTCGCGTCCCTCCTCCCAAGCCTCGGCGCCCGACGCCCGGCGCCTGCCACAGAGCTGCAGTCCTCCCGGCTTCCTAGAGAGGCGCACCCGCCTGCACTTCCGGCGCGCGCGTCCGGAGGCTGTTCTGTCGCTCCCTGGGGTCGGTGCGGCAGCCCGCGGAGCGGAGGGTGAGTGAGGCGGTCTGGCAGCGCGGCCGCGGGTGCTTCCCAATTCGCCCCCGTCCGGCCTCAGCCCTCCCCGCCGCTTTGCGTGGGCCGTTGCTGCCGCAGGCAGAGCCTGTGGCGGTACCAGGTGGCCGCTTCTCCTGGTTGCTTCCGTCCGTCCGTCAATCGGTCCATTTCTTCATACATTCGTCTGTGTGTCTGCTCACCCACCGCCCTAGCGTCCTTTGACTTCTCAAGCACTTACCCGGCGCCTCCTGTGTCCCAGGCCATAGGCCGAGCAGTCGGAGAAGAACTGAGGCAATCTTTCTTCCCTCTTAACGCGGCCAGAACTCGCTCTTGAGTCAGGTCTCAGCCGTTCGTCTTAACCTCCCCAGTCTAGCTAGGTTCGACCCTCAGAGCCCTTTCCACTTTCCCCTGTATCGTTCTTACCAAGACTAAGTTATGTAATTAGGTGTTCTTTCTGTTTAACGTCTGCCTTCCTACGAAAATCTTAAGTTCTATAATGGCAAGGACACGGACTTATAACTCTCTGCTCGGTGCCTAGCGCAGGACCTGCACAAAGTAGGCATTCTGTAAATATTGTTAAAGAAATGTGTGGAAAAACACAGGACCTCCTCCACAGGGCCACTGGTGTGGTGGGGAAGGCAGTTCAGACCAGGTATCTAAGAGCGGGACTCTGGAGTCAGACCGATTTGTTTGAGAGCAGTCCAGACTACCATCACTTTCCAAACCGTGGGACCTGAGAGAAATTATGTGACTTCTCAGTTTCTGTTCAGTAAAACAGTAGAACCTAGACCATAAAGTGCTGTGAAGAGAAGTGAACAGGTAGACTGTGCTTGATTGTACAATAAAAGCTCAGAGTTTTCTGTTACAACTAAGTAAGAGAACGGTGCAGGTATATTAAATAACAGCCATACTGCCGAAAGCAGTTTTGTCCAAAAGTGCCCTGGAGCTTCTTGGGTTGCTTGGGCTAAGAGCTAGCTGGGGCCAGGTTCTCACCTCCCAGAGGGAAGGGCCGTATTTAAGCTCAGTGCTTCCACCCCTCCACAATGGGTTCCCTAGACAGCTCTGTAAACACGGACGCTTGGAAACACAGTTCTGGTCCCAAGCAGTCGCCTATGGCCCCCACTGATAAGGCTGCTTTCTCATATTTACACTATGAGAAGGTGGAAGGAGCTCTTCCCTGAAGCAGCAGCACCTCCCCAGGATTCTCTTGTGGGGTGATGGAAGAATCACAGGACCTGTGATCATTTTACGGAGCCTAGCTGGTAAGTTTCCCCAATAAAGCCTATTCTATAGCCCATGCCTTGTGATGTGGAATTTGCTTTTCCCTTGCACCACGTCTGTCATGCATTGAGAACCTCTTCTGGGCCCAGTGTTTTAAAATATGAGTTTTATTATCACGTATGGTGAGGCCAGCAGATCAGGAGATGATTGCCATTCAAAAGATAGCTTGTTACTCATAGTTCTCAAGAGGAGGAAGAGGAGGAGGCATGCCATGTCCCACTTGGTCATATGGCAAAAATCACAGGTTCAGTCAGGAGACCAGGTGAGGGGAAGTTGGGCGGGAGCCTTTTTTGTGGTTTCCATGGGAAGGACTGTGAGGCAGGGTCAGCAGGCTTAGGATTGACTAGTTTGAATAGTTTAAGTGATAAACTAGATAATAGATAAACTCTCTGGCTTGTTCCTGAGTTTTTGGCATCTGGCCCTGGTTGATTAGGGCAGGGGAATGGTGGCCCTGGATGTGAAAGCCCGGTGCAGGAAGTGGTGGGGTGTGGGTTTGGGTTGGTGGTTTGCATATGAAAAGCACACTTGAGTTTATTATCTGTAGGAATCTGCTAGCCCTGAGAAGGACCATCCCTCTAGTGTAAGCTAGGCACAGATGTCAAAACCCCAGAATAAAAAGCTATGCTTAATACACCAAGCACTACTCTACCTGTCTTACGTTACTTCCAATTCCTATAATAACAGTGCAATGAAAGTACTATTAACTCCATTTTTAGGAGAGGAAATGGAATCTTAGAAAGGTTTGGTTGGTGACTACTGTCACACAGCTATTAAGGTAGTAAGAGGCTGTACTATGATTCCAAACTGTTGGGTCACTTGACTCCAAAGGTGGTGTTCCTCCTGTGAGCTAAGTCATTTTTCTGCAGTCTGAGAAGTGCCATGGAAACATCTTTCAGTCCTTATTAGACATTTGACATGTTGACCACTTCCTCTTTGAAACTCTTTTTTTTTCTACTATAGTGGTATTCATTCATATATATATGGCACCTACTCTCTGCTGTGCATTGGGTTGGGTGGTAGGGAAGGGTGAGCAAAAATGCTGATGTAACTTAGAGTTGAATCATGGAGAAGACATGTATTAATGCAATAGTCTCACTAAAATATATAAACTGACAAAATGAGAGCAGGGCTCTGAGAGAAAGGAACATAATTCTCTTTAACTGTGTCTCTTATGACTCCTTGACTGACCCAGCCCCGCCTGCACATCAGAGTCAAAGAACGTTTTACAAATATAAAACCAGAGGTTCTGACTCAGGCTGGGGTACAGCTCAGGCATCTGTAACATGAGATTTTGCCCCCCTGCATTTGCTTTTTAAAAACTGGTCAGAGGAACAGGGTCAGATTTGCAATTTTGAAAAGGTTGCTCTGGTTATAGTATGAGCAGACAGTGTGTTATTGTATAGTGTGACAGGACGGTTAAAGGGATGAAGCTGGTAGTGGCAGAGATGGGGAAGGGCAGAGATGGGGAAGAGATGGGGAATTGTCTGGAGACAGGCAATAAGTCAATAGGACTCAATTTGCATTAAATACAGGAAGGAGGTGTTAGGGATGTTTTCTGTTTTCTAGAAATGCAGTCAGGTGAATGTTCCTAATTCCTGAGGGGACCTCTGGGAGAGGAGCAGAATTGGAGTGGGAGGAATCATCAATTGGTCATGGATGTGCTGTTTTAGGTCCTTTCGTGAAATTCAGGAGGCATTATGGGAGTGAGGAACAGTAAATAGGGCTTGTGCTCAGATAAGAAGTTCGGAGTAGAAATGCCTGTGAGACAGTGAAGACAGTGCCAGACTTAAGGGCTAACCTATGGAACTCTGATGTAGAAGAGGTGGGCCTGTGAAAGATGGAAGAAGGAAGAGACAAGCTTTATGATGGAAAAGTTCCTTCGGCCGCATAACATAGAGGTAAGTTGGTGAGGCATAATATTTATAATAAAAATTTAGTATCACAAACATTGAAGTTAAAGGGCAAGACCCATGACATAGACCAGTGATCATTAGGCAAAGCACACATACCCATGTGATGTAGCCCTTGGTATATGCTGTATACACAGTGATACATAGATCTGATGATGCTTTGTTATGGGATTTCTTAAATGGCAATAACCACATAGTAAGAACTAAAGAAATGTATTAAGTATTTTTCAAATACTAAAAAATTAAGAGGAAAAATATCCCAGGTTTCTCTTTGTTTATATGTGTATGGCAAGAACACAGTTTAGAAAATACTCCTTTGTAGTATCTCACACCTAATTTTGTCATAAATAACTCAGGAAATGATAACCACCATCCTTTCAGTCACCAGCGGCAGGGGAAAACCTAATCCTTGACTCCTCTTCTAAACCCTTATCCAGTGTGTCCCCAATTCCTGTCAAATCTCTCATTTTTATCTTTGGCTCCCATAGCTTAGGCCCTCTCGCCCAAGTGGTTGCCATAGACCCTTCCTCTGCCTTCTCCATACCCGTTCCTGAGTGGGCAGATGGACCCTCCAGCCATTCTCATGGCTGTGGGGCTCAATGCAAACTCTGCAATACAATCTTTCAGACCCTTGGCCTCCTCTCCCTCTGTGGGTTCCTCCTTTCTCACTATTCCTGAACTATGCCCCAGGCTCTGGCCTATTTTTTGTTGTTGTTGTTTGTGTGGTTTTTTTTTTTTTTTTTTTTTTTGGTTTTGGCTTTTTTTTAAAAAACATGGGTTCATATCAGAAGCATTTGGAGGCACTTATTGAAGTCTCTCCCACAGAGATTCTGACTCAGGAAGTCTGTTGTGGGGTCCCTTGCTCCATGGCTGATTCTGAGCCAGAGGGGACAACCATGAGTCTGGCCTCCCTAAACCACCCACTCCCCTCCTCAGTGCAGTCCTCCCACTGTTGTCTTTTCCTGAATAACCTGATGTGACCTCTTCACCTGCTCATTCTTATCAGACTCTTGCTGACGTGTCTTCTCCCGGCAGGCAGCTCTCCCTGGTCTTAGTTGTCTCTGTGTCTGCTACCGTGCCTGCTTCCCTCTATCCTTGGATTTATCACACTGCATTTGCAGGTTTACTCTAAGGAGTCTTTGAGGACAGAGCTTTTAATCCTGAGAATCCTGTTCAGTAAACTGCCTAGCATGTAACTCAAGTATTTGTTGAAATAATGGGTGAAGGAATTCATTCTCTTTTCTTGGTACTGTCTTAGAACTTGTGACTTACAGTCAGGAATTCTTTGTACATTCGCTCTGGCCATTCTCCATGATACTTTCCTAACTTTTTCACCATCATTTAAAATGTGTAGTATCAACCAAGATGATCCTGGGCTAACCCATTCTGTAATAAAAAACAAGTGCTTTGGAATTGGGCAACCCTAGGTTCGTGTCTCGACTTTGCTATTTACCAGGTTGAGTCCATGGGTAAATTAAATTACTTAACTTTTAAAAATCTGTTTCCTCATCAGTAAAATGGGGATGATAATACCTCATAGTATTATTGTCAAGCCCCAGTAAAATAGTATTTGTAAAGTGCCCGGCCCATAGTAGGTGTTTATTAAGTGCAAATTCCCTTTGGGGGAGACCCCATGGCATAATAAAACTCAATACTTTCGTTGCAGAGTCTGGTTGTGCTGCTTACAGGCTGTGTATCTTTGGTTAACTTATGTATCTCAGGAGCTTCATTTGGAAATAGGCATAATTATGATTGTTCTTTTGGAATTATTAGGGAAATTATATAAAACATATGTAAAATGTCCAGCTAGTGTTGGCATCTAGTAGATACTCAATAAAATGGTGATGATGATGATTATTATTCTGCAGTGTTTTTCCTGCTTTCCATGATCCAGATTTTATTATCCCTGATACTGACCCTAACATTATTTCTAAAGGTTCAGTTGATTTCAGTGATTCTTAAATTTTCTATTTCCTATCCTGAAAAAATCCTAAATCATCTATAATGTATTGTTTATCTGGTAGCTCCCTTTTAGTCATTTTTCTTTATAGAACTATACTCTCTGGTGACTTGTCTTTGAAAACCTGCATTATTATTCTAAGCCAATTTTTTCCCCCTGTGTAACATTAGCATTGTCTATCTCGGGAGTCCCCTGAGGAATCAGAATTCAGAAGGAATCTCTTAGACAAGGGAATCCATTGCCTTCCTGACTCAACTGGGCAGCATTTTCAGACTGTCTCTGCCCAGAATGTCAGGAAAAGCTGCAGGCCTGGCCTCCCATGCTCCAAAAGAACAAGAAGGACTTATAATTGTGAAGGTTGAAGAAGAGAATTATGTTTGGGGGCAGGACCATGGCCTTCAGGGAAATACCTGTAGCCTGGAGACCTTCCGCCAGCGTTTCAGGCAGTTTGGCTACTCTGATTCTGCTGGGCCCCGGGAGGCCCTGAGCCAGCTCCGGGAGCTTTGCCATCAGTGGCTGAGGCCGGAGGTGAACACCAAGGAGCAGATCCTGGAGCTGCTGGTGCTGGAGCAGTTCCTGGCCATCCTGCCTGACGAGCTGCAGGCCTGGCTGCGAGAGCACCGGCCTGAGAATGGAGAGGAGGCCGTCACTCTGCTGGAGGAGCTGGAGAAGGAGCTTGATGAGCCAAGGCAACAGGTAAGAAGTAGGTGATGTGTTTGCTTGTTTTATCAATTTTAAGTCAACGGGGAAGCCGTTATGCGTGGCCTTGACGTCACGGCTATCAGAGTTATGAAATTTCTGTCTTTTGGGTTATTATTTGTGCACTGGGATCAAGGCACTGGGGCTTTTAATCCTGTTGTTTTCTGTCTAATCATCTGAATTGAGTTTCTGGCTCTAACTGCCTTGCCCATTGTTCTAGGGTTTTTTCCTTCTGTATCCTCAGAATCATAGTGCTGGTACTTGATTACTCCTAGGACACGGTTCATGGCCAAGGAATGATCTGGAAGGAAATGACTTCCATAGGAGCACTGAAATCTCTGAGTATACAGCTCCAGCCTTTGGAGAACCAGTGCAAGAGTGAGACTCAGGAGTGCCAGACTTCCCATGAGAGAGGTGAGGAATTGCAGTCTGTTCGGGGTTGAGGATGATGGTACGGATATCAGCTGTGACATAGTGTTTTCTTGACAGTCACTTGTGGCTGTCATTAAGTATGGTGGAAAGGCCCCCTCCTTGCCTTGAAATATTCTTCCATTGGCTGTGCCTAGAATCTAAAATTCCAATATAATTTCTAACTTTGGGTTAAGAATTAAGGTCTTCAATAAAATTCTCTAATACCCATAATAGTCAAAGACCAATATACTGTGTTTTTAAGTATTATGGACCACTGGCAAGGCAGTACCCAAGAGGGAGATGAATTATGTATTAGTAACTGAAATACATAGTAATTTAAACAAGGAAGTTCAATATTAAGAATTATGGACTATTAAAAAAAAGAATTATGGACTATAATGGGGTTAATTACTGAGTGGTTAAAAAAAAAAAAAAAAGAAGAAAGAAACAACTCTAAAGAATACAGGAATAACACATGTAGGGAATCTTCAGGGCTGAGGCCAAGCACCCAAGGAAGGCACAAATCTGTAAGAGAGTACCACATCTTCCTAGACAGTATCTCGCTGCCTCTGATTCAATCTGCTTCCCATCTCTCTGGTCATCTTAGCACATTTCTCTCGACATGTTTCAGTTTCTCCACATTAATTTGAAATAAAGGGATCAAAAAAAAAAAAAAACAACAACAAACAAACACCCCACCAAAAAACCCAAACCTCTAGTGAGGATCTGATTACTTTAAAATTTAAAATACATGATAGGTTCATTTCCCAACTCTTACCTGTTGTACTCCATATGCTTTTGTTCCTTCCCAGTAGCACGTTAACTGTGTGGACTGATAGATCTCGTTGTGCTCATCTCTTTTTAGTCTTAGGGGTCTTGGTTAGCCCTGCCTCTGAAGAATTAATGTAGAGCATGTCACATCTTTCACCTAGGTTGTGAGGTTTAAATCACTGGGAGGATCCACCTTGCAAGGATTTTAAGAGTCACCATGTCATTTTTACAACCTTATATCCTTGGTTATAATTTTCCCATAGGTACTTCACTTTCCTAACAATAGATCTCCTAGATCTCCCCAGAAGAAGATCCCGAGATACGGAGATTTGGGTTCATGTGATTTATTTAATTATTTTTTTAAAAAAGATGTATTTATTTATTTGACAGAGAGAAAGAGATCACAAGTAGGCAGAGAAGCTGGCAGAGAGAGAGGGAGAAGCAGGCTCCCTGCTGAGCAGAAAGCCTGATGTAGGGCTCCATCCCAGGACCCGGGGATCATGACCTAAGCCGAAGGCAGAGGCTTAACCCACTGAGCCACCCAGGCGTCCCAAGGATGCATGTGATTTAAAGGAAGCAATGCTCTTGAGGAGAAATCTGTAAAGGAGCGAGAGAAGCAGGGTTAGGAAGGGAAGAGAGCAAGCCATGATGTGGTCTTGGGTAAAATCTAGCCTTGGCTTAATATCTTAATCCCTGCCCCACTCCCCTCGAGCATAATGGCACTGCTGAGTTGTCCCTTCTTAAGGTGTGGGTGGGGTGGGGGAGAGGCAGTAAGGATATAAATAACATCCTGGGCCAGATGGTTCTCATCAGCCAGGGCAACTTTCCAGAGAAGGCGGCAGCTGTGGTATTAGGAACCAACACTCCCAGCAGCTGGGGGAAGGAGGCACCAAGTTCATAAAGCAGGTCTGGATGGGCAGTGCAGGATACATCTGCATAACATTAAGGCTAAAAGCATGTTTGTTAATGTGCATTAAAGCCACATCCCTGGGCAAAAGGCTTTTAGACCACACAGGTTTCTGTCAGTACTAGGGGACATAGGGGAAAACTGCAGCCTTGATGTTGAGCATCTTTGAATCCTGGCTCTTCCAGTTATGAACTCTGTGGTCTTACAAAGGTGCTGTTGCCTCTCTGAGCCTTCGTTTCCTGATCTGTAAAATGCAATCAGGTTTAAAGGACTACTGGGAGGATGAAAGTAAGTGAACAGTTTTTTAGGTTTTCCTCCTCAAAATAATTCTGGTTTCCTCAGCCATCATGTAGTAGTCTCCTTCTGAGTTACCAGAAATCTAGAAACAAGAGGGGCTGGTTGTGAGAGCTGAAAGTTTGGCTCCAGGTGGTTGCATCTGTCTCTTTATTTCCATCTGCCTCTGACCATTTGCACATAAGACAGTGAACATATAAGACTCCCACCTGACCCCAGAATGAGTCAGGAAACCACAACATTCCTTTTCTTATGCACTGAGTGACTTATTCTATTTGCTTATAATTGTTTGATCTAGAACTTGCAGTTGCTCTAATGCATTCTTGTTCCTGCTTATGTACCTCTGCTCAGTTTACCCCGAAAGAATTTCCTAGTCATATATTCTGCTCTCCTACTTTTCTAGGAGCACTATTTATTCAGGTTTCTTAGACTTCTTTTTTTCTCCTGAACACTCCCTATTATCTCTTTTCCTTTCCCTCATTACTAAAAAACACATCTTCTCCTCTAACCCAGGATTGTCTCCTAGCTTCTTGGTCTCTCACTGCTACTTCTCTTTACCACCATCTCCTCTAACTAATGTCTTACCCTGCTCACCATCCCTCCTCTCCACTGCTGACTCTCATTCTGTGTCTCCCTTACTCTCTGAGGGTGCCACCTCTCACTGCCCCAGGCCACTTATCTAAATTCTAGATTGGGAAGCTAGTTCTTTTTTTTTTTTTTTTAAAGATTTTATTTATTAATTTGAGAGGGAGAGAGACAGAAATAGAGACAGAGAGCATGAGTGGGGAGGAGAGGGAGAAGCAGGCTCCCCACTGAGCAGGGAGCCTGATGCAGGGCTTGATCCCAGGACCCTAAGATCATGACCTGAGCCAAAGGCAGACACTTTACCAACTGAGCCACCCAGGTGCCCTGGGAAGCTGGTTCTTAAGAGTTTTCCTCCTTTTTAGGAAATACCATTTCATTTGGGTAACTTTCAATTCCAGTTATAATAGATTCCTTTCTTCCAGTATGGGGATCCAATGACACTAGTATTTCTGTTCACATTTTTAGATGGCAAGCTGGCAAGTGACAAGGTATTAACAACAAAACAAGAAATTATTGAATGTGTAGCGTCAGCGGCCATGATATCCCCAGGAAGACTTCCTGGGGAAACTCCTTCACAACAGGTAGTTGGAGAAGCTTTGGGAGGTCTGGACAACTTCGAGAAGCCGAAAGGAACTGCTCCAAGGAGCAAAATGAGTCCACTTCCTTCCCAGGAAAGACATCTTAGTCTGGCAACCTTCAACAAGAAAATCTCCACTGAAGAGTGTGTCCTTGAATGTAACCAGAGTGAAAGGGCTCTCAGTGTGAACTCAGATGTCTTCACACGACAGAGAGTTCATGCTGGAGGAAAGGTCTACGAGTGCTTGGACTGTGGGAAAGCCTTTTGCCAGAGCTCGAAGCTGATTAGACATCAGAGAATTCACACTGGAGAGAGGCCTTATGGATGTAAAGAGTGTGGCAAAGCTTTCAGTTTGAGCTCGGACCTTGTTAGACATCAGAGGATTCATAGTGGTGAAAAACCCTATGAATGTTGTGAATGTGGTAAAGCTTTCAGGGGCAGCTCGGAGCTCATTAGACATCGGAGAATTCACACCGGAGAAAAACCGTATGAATGTGGTGAATGTGGGAAAGCCTTCAGCCGGAGCTCAGCCCTCATTCAGCACAAGAAAATTCACACTGGAGACAAAGGCTATGAGTGTACTGAATGTGGTAAGGCTTTTGGTAGAAGCTCTGTCCTTATTGAACATCAAAGAATTCACACTGGAGAAAAACCTTATGAATGTAACGAATGTGGAAAATCCTTCAATCAGAGCTCAGCCCTCACGCAGCACCAGCGAATCCACACTGGGGAGAAGCCTTACGAATGTAGCGAATGTCAGAAAACATTTAGGCACAGGTCAGGCCTTATGCAACACCAGAGAACTCACACAAGAGTTTAACTCTTGAGTAAGGATTATACAATTGTGTAATACCAGGGATTTGGTGAGGTTCCCACCAAAGTGAGAAGTCTCCTGAGAGCAGAGTTTCCGTCCTTCCAGTCTAAGTCAGTACATGCTGTACAAGGAGATCCAGACAAAGATGGTTGTTGATGTGCTGAATGGGCACCTTCACAGTAAAGCCAGGTCTGGGGTAAAGATCCTGAAAGAGCTCCTTATAAGATGGGCTGAGAGGTGGTGCCTCCAATGGCAAGGATCTCTGCAGCAAGAAGAGCGTGCATTTGGCAGCTGGAGGCATGTGCTGAGAGTCATTCGGTTCTCTAAAGTATTCAATTGTGAGGCTGTGAAATGTTGAATCATGCCCTGGATCAATTTATAGTTCATTCTGCCCCCTTGCCAGTTCTCTTCTCGACCCCGAGCTTCCTGAGGTCATTTTGTTTATTGTGTACCTGCTATGTGCCAGCTGTCGGGGCAGACATAGCATTGCCCTCCCAGAGTTGAGAACTAATGGGATACAGATATTATATATATGTATGTATGTATGTATATATATATAAATATGGCAAGTAATTACAGTGAAGAGTGGTAAGTGCTTTGGTGGAATAATCTAGGATTCTGTCAAAATACATGGCAGGGGCACCTAACCTGGTCTGCAACTTATTGAAATCTTCCTCAATGTGATGAAATCTCTGTTGGGAAATAAAAGGTGGGTATAAGCCGGGTCAAGGTGAGAGGGAAGAAAACATTACAGACAGGTTATGGCACATACGAAGGCATGGAGGGAGGATCTAGAGATGTCTCTTCACGAGGACTCCTCTAGCAGGAATGTGTTCATGTAGACCCTGGTTTGGAAACTAGGACATGTGTTGGTTCCTCACTTCCTATTCATAATCAGTGAGTTGGGTAGCTTATCCCAGACCCAGAGTTACCTAAAGACCTTGAGGGACTCAGGACAGTTAGTGTGATGGTAGACTTTGCTGCGTTGTATGGAAAAAGGCATGTAGGTACACCAAAGAAAGAAAAAATGTTGGAGGCTAGAGGGACAGCGTCGGTGTCCCATAACCCTAGGGCTCAGGAAATGGGAAGCTGACAGGAGCCTGGGAGTGGGAGGTATGCCTTCCCAGGATCCACTATTCCTCATTTCCTGTCTTCTCCTTACATCAGGCTGGAAGATACTAAGCTACTTGAAGGCAGGGAGTACTTATTGAATTGCCTCCTTAGATTCCTTAAAACTGTTTCTCTGTTAATTTTTATTTTGGCAGTTTTAATTAGCCCACCATTAACTGCTGAAGGCAATTCATATGTAAGAGAAGGTTTGATTTCTCTTCTAAGATATCCTGATTTCCCTTCCAGATACTGTCTCTTCTGAAGACTTGGTGATCAAAGCTGTTGTGGGTAATAGGGAGGTGAAATTGGGCCAGGGTGGGGTAGGGGGGCAGTATTTGTATCCACAGGTTGGACAGTTTTCATTGAGTGAGGTCAGTCGGAATTCTGGAGAGACCCTTCAAATGGATGGAGTTGCTTTTCCTCTAGGTGACAATCAGATGATTTCATGTTTTTAATTTTATTTAATAGGTTTTTTTCTAGATTGTGAATTAATTGTAAATGTTGATAATCTAGAAAATGAGAGGGGTGCCTGGGTGGCTCAGTGGGTTAAAGCCACTGCCTTCGGCTCAGGTCATGATCTCAGGGTCATGGGATCAAGCCCCGAATCAGGCTTTCTGCTCAGCAAGGAGTCTGCTCCTGCCCTCTCTGTCTGCCTCTCTGCCTACTTGTGATCTCTGTCAAATAAATAAATAAAATCTTAAAAAAAAAAAGCTTTTAAAAAAATATAGAAAATGAGAAAGTAGAAGTCACCTTCAACCCCACCACCCATAAAAATACTGTTAGTATTTTGCAGTTCTATAATTTTTTTTCTTTCCCCAATCCTAGTATTTTTTGGTAAAAATCGTGTTTGGTAAATCATTTTTAGTAACTGATTTTAACATTTATACTTTGAGTATATACTTAAACTGTTTAGTATTAGAATGTAATACAAGATGTATTATAATAAAATTGGAATCTTAAGGTTTGTTTTGAAAGGACTTGTTCAGGAATAGGAAGCCTAGTAACACAAGTGGAGGTGTGCTGGGAGAAAGGGGGAGGGAATTGTGGCAAGAAATCAGGGAATGGGTGTACTTGGCTTTTATTTTCTCGTCCAGGTGTCTGGAAACATGGCTAGTCCCTTGTGCTGCAGTTCACCAAGTGAAGACGCAAAATTTGGGGGCAGCTGGTTGAGAAACCATGGGAAAGAGAACAAATAGCCTCTTTAAACACACATACACATTGTGTCCCCCCATTTAGGAGCAGGAGCCTCAGAGACTGCCACGGACCTCCCCTTCTCTCTCAGCAAGTCAACAGAAACATGTGCAGAAAAACCCTAAAACCCTTTAGATTTGTGAACATTTGCACCAGCCAACAAGACTGTTGCAGATGGTAAAGTTACTGAGTAGCAATGTGTGTTTCTGACCCCTAGGGAAGCAGGGAGCAGATGGTATCAGTGGGGTCTTCCCATAGAGCTCACCCTTCCTCTTTGCAGAAATGCTCTCCAGGTCAGTTTCTACTGCATGGGAAATATTCTAATTGGCAATCCCCCTGACTTGGAAGATTCACTTAATAGGGCAAGAGAAGCAGATGATTTCACAGGAGAGTTTGGAGACCCCCAAGGTCAGATTTGCTTAAATTTCCAGTCTCCAGCTGAACAGAATTGCAGTCTATGGAAATGAGGAGGAAGAAGGCGAGAGGTAGTAAAGTGGTATTAAGCACCCTGCCTAAATTGCACATTCTTTTTTTTTTTTTTAAAGATTTATTTATTATTTTATTTGACTGGGGGTGAGAAAGAGATCATAAGTAGGCAGAGAGGCAGGCAGAGGAGGGGGAAGCAGGCTCCCTGCTGAGCAGAGAGCCCGATGTGGGGCTCAATCCCAGGACCCTGCGATCATGACCTGAGCTGAAGGTAGAGGCTTAACCACTAAACCACCCAGGCACCCTAAATTGCACATCTTTTAAAATCACCTTTGACATCTACCTTATATTGGTGCCTGCTCTCTTTCATAAACACATAGAACTTTGAAGTTTTAACTCTGAAAGGTCATCTACTTCAGCTCCTTTAAACTGAGAGTTGAGTTGTGAGGTGACTTGCTCTTGGCTGCAGAATTATGGAAAAGCACCAACACGAACAAAGGACTCTACTTCAAGGTTATTGCTTTTCTCAACTATAGATATCCTTCATGCAAATAACTTGTATTTGCACAGAGATTTGTAATTTGCAGGACTTTTCTGTACACTAATGTGAGATGGTTGTGTCTGGCACTGTCACTTAACAATGAAGTCATCATGGATCAGGGACGCCTGGGTGGGTCAGTGGGTTAAAGACTCTACCTTCAGCTCCGGGTCATGATCCCAGGGTCCTGGGATCTAGCCCCTCATCTGGTTCTCTGCTCGGCGGGGAGCCTGCTTCCCCCTTTCTCTCTGCCTACTTGTGATCTCTGTCAAATAAATAAATAAAATCTTAAAAAAAAAAAAAAAGTCATGGGTCAGAGTTAAGTTAGACAACCTCCTAGGACTTGGGAGGGACAGAGATGCTACAGAAAGCATGCGCTTTCCTTAGTATTTCTTGACTATCCTGGGTACTCATTACTTTTAACCTTTTTTTCCCTCAAAGTTTAGAAGTATTGTAGGCAAGTTTGGAAGACAGAAAATCACAAGAAAAAATTCGATCACCTATAATTCTATCTATAGCACTGAGATTACATATTTGCAGGATTTTTAATGCATAAATATTTTTACATGGAGTCATACTGTACATGTTCTATTTTTACTTAAGATATGCTGTCATTTTCTTTTGACATCAATCAACATCACTTTTTTTTAACAGCTTTTAAGAGTTTGTATACATTCATGATGTTTTCTGAAGCATACATTTCCAGGTAGAATTTTAAAGTCAAAAGGCAATGGTTAAGGCTTCTGGTACTGATTGCCAGAGATCCTATCTATTCACAGCTTACCAGCAGCATTGGAATCCCAACTTCCCTGAATCTTTATGAGGGGGGAAAAGTGCCATCTCAACTCTTGCTTTAATATACATTTTTAATTCTACCAAGACTGCCCGCTTGTCACCCATTGGCACTTGTTCTTATGTGATTTGCTTACTGAAGTACCATTTTTTTCTACTGGGACTTCTTCATGAGGATATACTATAGAGAGATGGCTCCACAGAAGGGTTTTGTTTTCCTTTTGCCTGGGTTCAAAGTCTGACCTCACCACTTTTTAGCTGTATGATATTGACTAAGCCACGATTCTAAGCCTTCATTTTCTCATCTGCAAAATATGTGCTGTCAGAGAAACAACAAATATATACAAAGCCCTCAGCAAAGTACCTGTTATGTTTATTTGTAGGTTAAGAACTCTCTGTAAAGAATCTCTCCCTTTTGTAACATGTGTTGTATCAATTCCTACTTAACAATTGTCCTACCCTTTTCAGTTTGAGTCTTTATTTTGGGAGAGGAAAAGGAGAGTTGAATATGAGTAACTCTTATATGTTACTTTGTTATCCTATCCCTTTCTTTTCTCACCCTCTTTCTGGAAGCAGGGGATTTAGCCCACTGGCCATTCTTACTGGTTAGTATCTGTTATCTATGTATGTTCCAACAGGAGCATTCTCTACTTATCCTCCCGAAAACTCTTTTGCTAAGCTCAGGATTCTAAATTCCCATAGATTTCTATTTTTGGCAAGGTGTTTGAACTCTGACCAGTTGGGTATTTTTGGGGTTTTTCTGTTGCTAACTAACCTATATCCCTTCTCGCATGGTACTGAGAAGCACCAGACAGGGATACTTTTCCTGGTGGGTCCCCCAGAAGACGGTAGTCTCTGGATGGACCAGGACTGTTACCTTTGTTGCCCCTTCCCTTCAGCATTGTCTTTAAAATTCATAAGACTGAAATACTGCCAAATGACAATGACATAAGGCAAAACTGAACACATGTGAGGTGCCTGGAGGCTACGTCACAGACCCAGGGGCTGACAAATATTGTTTAGCACCTAAGCCCAAGGGAGTGCACCAGAACTGTGGGGGTACAGCCCCAGAAACAGATGTGGTAGCCATAGCCGCTTCTGACCCAGAGCCTTGCGAGTGAGCAGGAAGCGGACAACAGCTCTGATAGCTTCAAGGACCAAAGGAGCTCTTCCGTTCAGGAAAGAGAAGATTTAGAATTCTAACAGGTACTTAACGTTGAGGCTAGGCTGGGCTCTTTCAAACCACCCTGCCTTCCCCAAACACACAGGTCTAGTGGAGCCTATAGGCAAAAAACGAGTTATTAACTCTTTCCCTTGGCTCACACCAGACCACAACAAAGCTCCACTCTACCCTGTGGCCCAAGGACTCGAGATTTTGTCTAGTAACAGATGCTTCTCTGCTGGGTCCTACTTTGCTACATCCACGTTTCTTACACACCTGACTCCACTTCAAAAGGAACTCAACAGCAACACTCCACACAAAATGGCGTTTTCTCAGAAAATGTGCCATTGTTCCTGACCTTTGTCTGTTCCCTCTGCTGGGAATATTGTTCTCTAGCCCGCCTGCCTACTTCCCTGGCTAACTCCTGTACATTCTTCAGTTTGTTTTTCTCAGAAACTTTCCCTGATCCAAGACTGGCTTAGGTACTCAATGTCACAGACCGCTTGCTCATGCCATGATGCGTTTGCCTTGCCCATTCAACCACAGAGACAGTCTGATTCCCCATTGTATTCCTAGTGCCTGGCACAAGACATGCCTTAAAAAAGTTAACTGCTGGATAAATTAATTTGTATTCTTTCCACTACCTCATTTCTGGACTGCCCTGGGCTCAACACATCATCTATGCACTGCTTCCCCATCTCTCTTGCTGCCTTGTCACTGTTCTTAATTGGTCAGTAAAATTCTAGATTCCTGAGACAAAATGTCCCTCATACTGTCCACACCATATCCCAAATCTGGCATGTGGACAATCAGATGTGGTTGACAGCCCGGGTTGCTGTACCCCCTTTATGACATTCTCATGGAAAATGAGGTTTCAATGTTATATTCCCATTTTTCTTATTTCCTGAGTATTCCTCCTAATGGTAAGAGGAAAGCTGGAAGCAGTGATTCTTCCATCTGCTGCTCTGATTAGTCCTAGGAAAAGCTTTCAAGGAACAATTTGCAGTAGCATTGGGAAGTGCTGCTCAGTTAAGTCAGCATGACTCCAGGCCTGGGTGATTACCGGCCTGGAGTCTTGTTCCAAAAAGTAAACCCTTTCCACTAACAAAGATAAAAATCTGACCAAAATATTTACAACACCCATTGTACTGCCAAGTTACTTGACAGTGTGCACCCTCTGATGGCGCAGGAGGACTGATCTGTGCCTGAAAGCCTTCCCACATTCATTACATATGTAAGCTTCATCCCCAGAATGGATTCTCTGATGCTGAACAAGGGCAGAGCTCCTTTTGAAGGTTTTGCCACATTCATTACACTGATAGGGTTCCTCTCCGCTATGAATTCTCTGATGTCTGATGAGGTTTGAGCTCAAACTGAAAGCTTTTCCACACTCATTACATTCATAGGGTTTCTCTCCACTATGTATTCTCTGATGGGTTATCAACTCTGAACTCTGTCTGAAAGCTTTTCCACATTCATTACATTCATAAGGTCTCTCTCCCGTATGAATTCGCTGGTGTCTAATAAGCTTTGAGCTTTGGCTAAAGGTTTTCCCACACTCGTTACACTCATAGGGTTTCTCGCCAGTGTGAATTCTTTGATGTATAATGAGATAGGAACTTTGACTGAATGCTTTGCCACATTCGTTACATTTACAAGCTTTCTCCCCAGTATGAATTTTACGATGTCTAATGAGGGCTGAGCTCTGATTGAAGGCTTTCCCACATTCACTACATTCATATGCTTTCTCACCACTGTGAATTCTCTGATGAATGATAAGGTATGACCTCAGACTAAAAGCCTTCCCACACTGGTTACACTTATAAGGCTTTTCTCCAGTATGGATTCTCTGATGTTGTGTTAGAGAGGAATGCTGTTTGAAGCTGTGCCCACATACATCACATCTATAAGGTCTCTCTTCTGTAGGAACTTTCTGGTAAGTTATAGAGTTTGTACTTAGAATCAAGCTGCTTTGAGGCTCAGGATGGTCTCTTTTTCCCAGAGATTTGTGTGTGAAGATTACTTGACTAAAACTGCCCCCTTGGGTAGGGAATCTTCTTAATTTCTCCCCTGTAGGACTTTCTTGTTGCCACTTTAAATTGCTGTCATGTTCACTAACTCCTCCAGATGAAGGCTCCTGGGGACGTCCTTGTGATTTTTCTCCTGAAATGTCCTTCTTGGTCACTGATTCGTGGTTCTCACGATCTGAAATGATAACAGCAAAAACAGACTGTTTTATTTCTCTAGTCACTCTCAGTACCCACTTTTCACGTGAGAGAAAACAGAGGCTTCTACCCACAAGAGGTCGAGGTCCACACCCATCTTTCTTTAACTGCCCATACTGGTCCCTCTTCTTTTCTAGTATGAAGGCCTACACCTACAGTTTGAAGTTTATTCTTTCCTGCTCCCTCTGAAATTTTACTTGATCGATTAGCTACTATTCCTTTCCTATTATTTTCACCCTTTTCCTCTGCTGACTCCTGTTCATTAGCATTTAAATAAGCCCAAATTTCTCATGTTTCAAATCAAGCTCCTTGCCTACACATCTACTTTGTGCAGCCTCACTTCCACTCAGAGTAAAGCTTTTTGAAAAGAGTTATCTGTACTCCTCTCTGTTCTGCAATCTGGTTTCTGCCTTCCCTGGACACCCCCTCCCTGCCACGCCACTCTCATCAAGGTCACCAACTTCATAACTGCTTAATCCAATAAATACTTTCTGGATCTTAATTAGTTAGCTTTAGCTTCTCTGTAGCATGGACACTGAGGACCACACCTTCCTTCTAGAGACATTTCTCTTCCTGCTATATTAGCCTGAATTCTGGGGCTGTTCCTTCTTAGATTCAAGGCCTATCACTCAAACACAAGGTCCTTCAGATTCTGTTCTGGACTCTCTTGTACCCTCAATCTTCACACTCTCTACAACCTAGGTTTCAGTCACTACTTATATGATAAGCTAATGTCTCCTCAGATCCCCAATTCTATTCTATTAAGCTCTAGACTCTCATCTCCAATGCTAATTGGGATATTACTTGTGAATACTCCATAAGCACTAAAATGGCCCAGACAAAACACATATTTTTTTCCCTTGTTTCCCCCACTTCCATTTACACATAGCACTATCATTAACCAAGTTTTTCAAGACTAATACCTGAGTATCATCCCCAACTCCTTTCCTACATTCTCCACTTGTAACCATGACCAGCTACTGCAATGCAATTTGAAATGCTGGTGAACAGGAGGCAACTTTGATCTTCCTTCTCACCAGAATACATCTTGACTTATTCACTGGGGCCATTTAGATTACAACAGTCTCTAACAGGGCTCCACTCTTGCCTTCCTCAAATTCATCCTCCACTCGGCAGCTAAGTTCTAAAACACAAGTCCAATCAACTACTCTCTTGTCTAAAACCTTTCAACTGTGCTCCACTGTCCTATCCAAACTAATTAGGATGATCTCTAAGTTTTCACAACCTGAGTCTCATTTTCCTCTCTGGTTATGTTTCGCCATCTCTCCCCTATGAATTCTCTATTCGAGTTAAACTGAATTACCTGTGGTTCCCAGAATGGGTTGTATTCTCTCACCTTCAGGACTCTGTGGCCTTGCTTGTGTGATACTGTAATACAGGAAATACGGATTTGGTCTGCATCCTTAGTTCCTGGCACAGAGCTTTTAAAAGCCCTTGCAATCTCCTAATGGTAGAGGTGAGAGGCGTATCTTTTGTTATTCATAATAAGCCCCTATCAACTAGTACCTCAGTTTATGCTTATGAGGTAACTCCGGAAGGCTGGGGGCTGGCTGCCAAAGGAACAAACTATGTGATTAGAAGGTTGAACTTTCTGCCCCACCTTTAGACCTCCACGGAAAGGTACTGGAGGTTTAACCATCAATGGCCAATGATTTAATCAACCATGTCTATGTATTGAAACTTGTACAAAAACCTTAAACAAAAGGGCTTAGAGAGCTTCCAGGATGGTGGATGCATCCAAGAGCCACAACAGTGGTGAACCTCTAACTTCACAGGGAGAGAAGCAAGCTGGATCTTGCCCTGTGTACCTCTCCATCTGGCTGTACGCTTGCATCCTTTATAAAATGGTAAGAGTAAGCAAGGTGTTTCTCTGAGTTCTTTGAGCTATAGCAAATTATGAAACCTGGAGAGGTGGTCATGGAATGTCAAATTTGCAGCCCAATCAGAAAGAAGTGTGGGTGAGCTGGGGATTCATGACATGCGACTGGCTTCTGAAGTGGGGGGAAGGGAGGGAAGCAGTCTTATAGGACCAAAACCTTAACCTGTGGGGTTTGCATTAATTCTAGGTAATTAGGCTCAGAATTAGAATTGCTTAAGAGGAGGGAAAACCACACATATCCAGTGTGAGAAGTGCTTTGAGTAGAAAAAAGTTTTTTCCTTTAGGATGGGACACTTCCTCCTGCTTATTTACCTGGTTTTCTCCTTAGTCATAGTTCAGATCTTAGTTTAGGTGTTTCCTTCTCCAAAAAGTACTCCTTGAATCTCTAAGGTTGGGTTAGGTATGTTCATATGTGCCCCCATAGTACCTATGGCCTACTTTTATTCTGTAATTATACTATATTGCCATTGCCTTTTTGCTTGTCCACCACCCCATCTAGATGCAAGGTCTTGAAGACAGAGACCCAGTGCCTCCCACAGTACCAGTCATATGTTAGCACCCTATTAAGTTATATAATCAAGGAATAAGTTAAGAAATGACAGGGAAACTGAAACAGGAAGGGCTGACTGCACTTCATGAGGGTTGCTGAAGAGGGTACATCTGGTCTAGATAAGACAAGTGAGATGCTCACATACGGCATCTTTGTAAAATGCAATTAATTCTGTACGCTCAAAACCAGAGGCCTGATAGTGGTTCCCAGACGAGTTTTTACTTTCTTACCACTTTTGGGGGAAAGGCAAGGTTCCCAGGGTTTCAGCTGTGTCTTTAAAGGCTGGAGTTGGATGTTTGTTAACTCCTGGGATGTTCCAAGACCTGTCAAATCCTTCCATGGCACTGCTGGTCCCTGAAATCAGGAAACGTGGTTAGCTTTCTGAGAAACTCCCTAGGGAAAATGCTTAGTAAAAATTTCGAAGAGGGCAACAAAGACAACTCCAGGGATGAATTTTAGGGAAAAAGAACTATTTAAGGACAGAGATAGGTATAACCACAGTAGTCACTGCAGGGTATGGTTCGGTGGAGATAACTTTCCCTTCCACTGCTATGAGGATGCCACATGCTCTAGTCTGTACATATCACATCTCTCTGTTCCCACCTGCTGCTGCCCTGCATCATCAAATTCCCTCTCCAAATCCTCCAACAGGGTCACAGCTTCCTCGCCGCTTTTCGGACTATGTTGCTGAACCCAGATCTGCAGCTCCTCAGGCAGGATGCTCAGAAACTGCTCCAGCACCAGCAGCTCCAGGATCTGCTCCTTGGTGTGCAACTCTGGCATGAGCCACTGATAGCAAAGCTCCTGGAGTCGGCCCAGAGCTTCCCGGGGTCCAGGTGTCTCCTGGTAGCAAAACTTTCTGAATTGTTGGCGGAACAATTCTTGGCAGGATCTCGTGCTCCCACCCTGCTTACATTTCTGACCCCAGGAAAGGCTTTCTTCTACTTTCACTAGTATTAGTTCTTGATCCTGAGGACTCTGAGGTACCAAGGTTGAAACTGTTCTGGATTCCACAGCCATTCTGGCCTAAACAGCAGAGCAAAAAGCACACTACAACTGGGTACAGTATTTCAGTTTCTTTGAGTAATCTCTTTGTTCCTGAAAGATATAAAAGCACTGTTAACTTAGAGCAGTGAGAAAAAAAAATCTTGTAAGAACTTAAAATAAAGGTCAGTCATCCCAGTAATGTATTGAGAGGGAAGAAGTTTGAGACTGTAAAATAATCAAGTGACAAACTAAAGATCACTCGCCCATTTATCATCCATTTGGAATTTTTACCACTAATAATAGAAGAAATTATTTTAGAAGCAAAAGAATGCAGTATTACCATGAATCACAGAACACGAAATCTCCTTTTCAATTCCTTCAATCCTGATGGTTATCAAGGAGAAAAATCTGCCTTCAATTTGTAGAACTCCCTTTTTAATAAAGTTTAAGCCTCTAGACTTATAAGGGTAACAATATCTAGCTAGGATTTAATAATGCTGACTTTCAAATATTTACTTTTAGGGGTGCCTGGGTGGCTCAGTGGGTTAAGCCTCTGCCTTCAACTCAGGTCATGCTCTCAGGGTCCTGGGATCAAGCCCAGAATTGGGCTCCCTGCTCAGCAGAGAGCCTGCTTCTCCCTCTCCCTCTGCTTGTGCTCTCTCTGCCAAATAAATAAAATCTTAAAAAAATAATAAAAACTTATTTTTAGTTACCTTCTATCTATGGCAAATAATGTTGACTTCCATTTGCAGGAGTAACAACATTTTTAAAACTTTATATTAAATATGAGTTGATTTAAATAAAAACTTTCAATTGCCATTTGATCAAATTTAGTTTTCAATGCATTTCTTCAACAAACGCTGAGGCAATTACCATGGGCTCTGTCGTGAGCCAGGCATAAGAATACAAAGGTCTTTGCTTTTGAGTAAACGGATCTACAGAGGAATTAACGAAGTGTTTGTTAAATGCTTACTGTGTGCTCAAAAACACGTCCGTTATCGGAGAGACACAAAAGCAGCAAAAAGGTCAATCTCCGTTCTCAAGCTTAGCATATAGGGGAATAAACATTTTTTAGAGTGAAATATGGCAACAAATAATTACGTATTCAATTTTGTGATATAGCTCACACAGGACCTGATTCGAGGATGGGTGAGTATCGACCGGAGGGTAAGCCCTTGAAACTGCGGGACACATCAAGACCATCTGACCCTAACACGACAGTTAACTTTAGAGATTCGAACAGTTAGGCTAGGCATCAGCCCATTTTCATAGCCCGGCTAAACGACAGCATTTGCGAAGTCACGGCGGGGAGGAGTAACTGCCCTTTTCCCTGGAAAGTAAGGGCTTGAGCTGGCCTCCGCGGGCTCCCAGGACGCTCGGAAACACCGCCCGGACAAGGGGCCGCGCGACCCAGGGATGGCCAGGCCCGGGGAGCAAGGCCCCTTCGCCTCGCGCCCGCCGTCCGGGCCACGCGCCCTCCCCGCCCTCCCTCCGCTCGGGGCCCGCGTCCCTCACCGCGAAGCCCAGCAGCGGCCAGGGAACAAGCCGCCAACTTGGAGCGGCGAGCCACAAAGACCGGAAGTGCGCTCTCGCGGACTTCCGCTCGCGGGTCCTCCGAAGCCTCCGCGCGCCCCACCCCGTGCTCCTAAGCAGCCAATCGGCGCCGCGGGTCCTTCGTTCCCACCGCCTTCCGTCTCCGGCGCCCCGCCCCGCGGAGCGCAGAGGCTCACGCGAGGGAGAGCTGGGAGGGGGGCGTCCTTGGGAGAGGTCGCTGCGAGCCGGAGGGCTCCGCTCCTCGCCTCGGCTGCCTGCTACCCAGACAACCACCACCACCCACTTCCCGTGCACCACTCCCTATCGTCTCATCTGCAGTTTTCCAGAAAAGTATTAAGATTTGCCTGTAACTCTTGTGCGTTTCCATCACCTCCGGCAAAAACGCATGAACAGGCTGAACAAAAAATGACAGCCTCTCCTGTTGCCCTTTCGTGCGCATACTGTTTCAGCCTTACGAGGGCTCTGTGGGTAGCTCTGTTATGCCCGCTGTCCAGCCGTAGACACTGCCCAAAGTCAAGGCCCGTCGAAGTCCCCGTAGCTCAAGAAGACCTTGGTGTCCCAGGCTGAGACTCTAACGAGGGGTATTCCCATATTTCACTGGAACCTAGTTGGCATTAAGACTTAGTGATTACATTTAGTAGGTGAAAATGATGTTTCATGTTGTTTTAACTTGCATTTCATTTAGATCAGAGACCTTGAGATTAAGGTATTTTCTTTCATGTCTTTGCACCATTTATGATTTTTAAAAAAGATTTTATTTATTATTTATTTGACAGAGATCACAAGTAGGCAGAGAGGCAGGCAGAAAGAGAGGGGGAAGCAGGCTCCCCACTGAGCAGAAGCCCGTCGTGGGGCTCCATCCCAGGACTCTGGGATCATGACCTGATGTGAGGGCAATCTGGCTGTCTCCCCGGTGATGGAGAGGGTTGATTCGCTGATCTGGCTGGCTAGGCGCATGTCCTGTTTCTCCCTCACCCCTACCCGTGTGTCCATCCCGAAGTTGTGCAGTTGGTTGAAGAGGATGACCCTCCCTGATAACAGAGGACTCTTCCTGGGTCAAGGGTATTCGAGTAGCTACTCGCTCCCCTGCTGGAACCTCTAAACAAGTTCTCAAGGTCCATTAGTAGGAGAATTAGGGTGGTCAAGCTTCAAGGATTCCAGACCCTTCCAAATGAGGCACTGCACGGGGCAGTCTGCTTTTCTTTAAAAACAAAACAAAACAAATGAAGAAAAAAAACCCACAAAACTTCAAAATTTTCATGTACCTCCATTTACTTTTTAGTAGTGCTAAAACTAGTGATTGTAGGTATTTAAAGTGTTCAAAGATGGCAAGTGTTCAGAAAGAAAAAATATTTTTTTAAAGATTTTATTTATTTGACAGAGAGAAATCACAAGTAGGCAGAGAGGCAGGCAGAGAGAGGGGGAAGCAGGCTCTGTGCTGAGCAGAGAACCCAATGCAGTCCTCAATCCCAGGACCCTGAGATCATGACCTGAGCTGAAGGCAGAGGCTTAACGCACTGAGCTATCCAGGCACCCCAGAAAGAAAAATTTTGAATAACAGACTTTTTTAAACCCAGAATTTATTTTAGTCGGGTATAGTAAGAGGCCAGACATGGTGATAACCGCCTTGGGGGGGAAAAGTTCATTACAGTTCCATAGAGGGTGGGGGCACTGCATGCCACACAGGGCCACGTGGGGTTACAGGGAGAATCAGAGAGAGAACCGGAACTAAATTTATTTTTCCTTTTTTTTTAAAATACTGCTGGGAAGTAGCTGGGTGGGGATGTTCCCTATCGAGGAGAAGGCAAAACGCCTGGATGAGGCTTGCAATGTAATAGATTTCCTGAATGCCTGATGATGGAGATGTTTGTAAAACAAAAGAAAGCCTTGGACTGTTAGCTTGACCTTGCATTTCCAAAATGCCATATCTTCAGCTACAAAATATCAGAAATGCGTACTACACCAGCATATTGTTACTGTTACCCTGATGTCACCTCTTCAGCTTTGTATTATTTAGAGACCCATAATAGACATTGTAACGGAATGAGACAGTGCTCATTTGTAGTATGCAAAACAGTAAACAAAGACCTTATTTACCAAGTTGTTTCTTTTTGCATCAATGTAAAAGAAAGCCCTTGAAGTTGCTCACTAGGTGCGTGTTTACTTACCATGCCTAGCAGAGTTAAAGCTACAGGTATACTCTTCCTGTCCTACTTTTCCCCCTTTCATTTCAGCGTAACCACAATCACCAGTCTCCTCCTGGTTTTTAATCCTGTCCGTCACTTCAGAAAGATCTTTCCTTAGGATTCTGTTCTGCCTTGAACAGAGTGATCATTGAGTGATTCAATGAAGATAAATTCTAGGATAAGTTTGGTGGGCGAGATGGCGGGGGGAGGTGGTGCCTTTCTAAATGCATAGAGTATGAGTAATAAAACCAACAATTCAGCTAAAAGCTGAGTGAAACATTTCCTGATGGTTTCATGAGCAGGAAACAAGAGTCTGGAGAGAAAGCTTTTTTTTAAAAAAAAGCTGTAGGACTTGGGTACTAAAAGACTTCACCTCATTTCGTTATAACTTATTTGTGGTAAGGTGGAAATGTTTAAAAATCTCATCTGATTGCCTTGAGCTTGTAGTATTTGTCTAAATTCTTTTGTTGTAGCAATTATTTAGAAGGAAATCTAGGTTTTACTTGAATTTTTCTACAGAACAGTGAATGTCTTGAATACCCATTGGGTTTCTCTCTGACCCTGCCTAATGATTAATTTAAAAAAAAAGATTTATTAGAGCATGTGTGTACACACACACACACACACACACACACATGGGGGGGGGGGGGGGGGGGGGGGTCGGAGGTGGGGGAGCATAGGGAGAGAAAGAGAAGCTGACTCCCCGCTGAGTAGGAGGTCCTCCCTGGGGCTCCATCCCAGGACCCTAGGATCATGACCTGAGAAGGCAGGTCTCCCAACCAACTGAGCCCCTGAGAAACTAATTTTTGCTCTTGACAGGCATTATGGTGGTAAGTGACTAACAAGTGTATATACTACCTAGTATTTAGGCCTTCTGAGGGCCATATATGTTATTTTAAATTATATTTGAATTATATTAAATTATATTTAAATTATTATTTTTCAGAAGGTACAACCTAATTTGCTTACCTTTTCTGGATTTGTTTTGCTTTTAAAAATTACATTATGTGGGGCACCTGGGTGGCTCAGTGGGTTGAAGCCTCTGCCTTCAGCTCAGGTCATGATCCCAGGGTCCTGGGATGAGCCCTGCATCAGGCTCTCTGCTCAGCGGGGAGCCTGCTTCCTCCTCTCTCTCCGCCTGCCTCTCTGCCTGCTTGTGATCTCTGTCTGCCAAAAAAAAAAAAAAAGAATTATAAAAAATAAATTACGTTATGTTTTAGTGGTTGGGATTATACTGCTTCAGGTAATCACACTTCCCTTTATAAATGGTGACTTCTTTTGTTGGTTATTAAAAGGATCCAGTTGAATAGCTATTTGGATTTGCCTGATAGTAAGAATTATTTAGGGTCTTTTTAAGGCTAAACATTTCTAAACCTTCAGTTAGAACACCTAAAGAGGGTTCTTAGAATTTATGTTTTTGACAAACACCCCAGACAAACACTACCAAAATCCCTTTTACTTTTGTCCTTCTTTATAGGCCATCTGCATTCCTATCCTAAGATGCCAACCAGGGCCTGTCAGGAGAGACTTAAATGAGCTACGGAAACAGTAAAATCTCCCCTACCCACCGCACATTACAAAAGCATTGATTTCATTAAAAAAAAAAAAAAAAAAAAAATATATATATATATATACACACACACACACACCCCAATGGGAGCCTGGGTGGCTCAGTTGGTTAAGCATCTGCCTTCAGCTCAGGTCATGATCCCAGGGTCCTGGGACTGAGCCCTGGGGACTCTCTACCTGCTCAACAGAGAATCTGCTTCTCCCTCTTCTTCTGCCACACACTCACTCTCTCTCCTCTGTCTCAAATAAATCTTTTCTTTTCCTTTTTTATGATTTTATTTATTTATTTGAGAGAGAGGGAGAGCGTGCATGTGAGAGAGCACACAAGTGGGAAGGAGAGGGAGAAGCAGGCTCCCTTAGAGCGGGAGCCCAATTCAGGGCTGGGGACTAGATCCCAGGACCCTGGGATCATGAACTGAGCTGAAGGCAGATGCTTAACCAACTGAGCCACCCAGGCACCCCTGTCTCCAATAAATCTTAAACAAGAACAGAAAACCTATGCACCATAGCCCAGTGAGGTCATGTTGGAGAGGGAAATCCTCAGCTGCCCAGAGGCCTGATGTTAAATTAATACTGAGTGAAAGCATTTGGCGGGGGTGGGTGGGAGGGGAGGGGTAAGGTGGTGGCTTGGTGGTGGCGAAGATGTCCAGCTGCTTTTACCTTTAAATGGGAAATTGAGGCGCTTGACCACAGAAAAGCCAGTGTGACCAGATCTAGCTTGCTTGGCTTTTGGGTCTTTGTATTTACCATCTGATTGGTTGGGTGAAAAACTGAATAGTGTGTTTTGACAAATCCCTTCAAAGTTGCCCTTTGAAAGGAAAATTAGGGCAGCTGAATGTTAGTTTGCTCTCTTCCAGAAAGATATGATCAAACACTGGAGAAAATGTTTTGATTGATGGCTTCTTTACATACTAACCTTTACAACATATTTACCTTTGAAAAGGGTTTTGTTGCTGTCTTATCAGGGGATACCGAGAACTGCTTGACAGAGGTTTGAACTGGAGTTGAATGTCCCATAACCAGTGTCCTGTTTGCTCCTAGGGTCCAAGTAGGAACAGAAACTCTATTTTCAGGTTTTCAGAAAATTTTATTATTTTTTTAAAAGATTTTATTTTTAAGTAACCTCTACTTGAGTGGAGTTCAAACTCACAAC